GGGTGTGGTGCTGTATGTGTTGGTCTGTGGTGCTCTGCCCTTTGATGGGTCCACGCTGCAGAGCCTGCGGGATCGTGTGCTGTCGGGCCGCTTTCGCATACCCTTCTTCATGAGCTCGGAGTGCGAGCATTTGATACGCCGAATGCTGGTGCTTGAGCCAACGCGTCGCTATACCATCGAGCAGATCAAGCGGCATCGCTGGATGTGCCCCGAGCTACTGGAGCATGCGCTGATTGCCAAATATAATTTGAGTGTGGAACGGCAGGCGGTGCTGGAGCCCAGTGAGGATATATTGCGAATCATGTCCGAGTATGTGGGCATTGGGCCGGATAAGACGCGCGCCAGCCTAAAGAAGAACACCTACGATCATGTGGCCGCCATCTATCTGCTGCTGCAGGATCGTGTCTCACACAAGAAGGAGCAGGCGAAGCCAAATGAAACTAGCGGCGCTGCCAGCCGCCTGCTCTACAAGAGCAGCAAGCAGTCCCTGATGCTGGACCAGCTGCCCACGCAGCAACTGTTGCAGCTGCAACAGCAACAGCAGCAGCAAACGAAGACAATATCCACCGTGATCCTGGCCAAGGATCCGACACACAAAAGACTTAGCCGCCATCAGACTGTTTTGATGAGCGAGCGACCCACTGCCGATCCCTACTATGCGGTCAAACAGCAGGCTCACGCCCAAGCCCAAGCCCATGCTCATGCTCATGCGCACGCTCGTTACTTGAACGGAGATGATGGCATGGTCCCGGTTCCGGTTCCGGTAACGGGCATGCCCATGCCCACTAGATATACACCACTGTCGGCGGGCAACAGCTGCGCCGTCTCCACGCGCATCAGCCACCAGAGCCTAAGCTCGCCGCGCACCATGGCCGCCGGCCAGCGACCCGTTGCCATCTCGCTCAGCATTGACAATAATAGCAGCGGCCATCCGCTGCCCTCGCTGGCCAATTTGCGGTGTCGCGAGCTGCTACTGAATGCCAGCCAGCAGCTGGAGCAGTCCGGCCATCCGGCCGGGCATCTGTCGTCGCCGGTGCCCAAGCAGCTGCATCAGACCATTAGCGAGTATATCATCAAGCAAAGCACCGAGGATTGTCGCCAGCTGCTGCAGCAGGTGAGTCCATGTCGCTGCCATGCAGCTGCTCTTGGTCCAAGCGAATCCAATCCACTCCAATTATGCAATCTCTTGCAGTCCACGGCCATTGCCGATACAAAGAAGGAGGACGACCAGCTGCCAGCGACAATTGAACATTCGTGCGCTGCCACACCCACTGCCGAACTAAACAAGACAATAAAGCCGATGTCCAGCTCGAATAGTTTCGATTCCACCGCCAATCTCAATCAGAGCTTTCGCTACAAAATGTCCGCCGAGGCGAACCGACTATTCCAGACCCTGCAAGAGAGTCCACTGCCCATTGAGGTGTGTACAATCGGACCAGCTTATTATATGGCTAACTCGCACCATGCCCTGCTGCAGCTAATCATTGCATGCGTCCTCCATAGTCACTTAGTGTTTAACCTGCAAATTGCATTCGAATCCTATTCCTGCTTTGTTAACCAACGAGCACACGAGCGTTCTCTATGTTCGGTTCGTGCTCTTCCCTAATTTTAAGCTGGTTTTGCACATTCTCACCCTGACATCATCCTCGCTTAATCCATACAAACCCGGATGCACCTCATCTATCTATATGGCACATCCTCCATGGTCAGATTAGATTTATGCTTTGGTTTTCGTTTTTATGAGCATCCACTTAGTACACATATCCAAATAGTTTTCAATGTCATTGAGCACGTCCTCCATGGTCACATTCAATTGTATAAAATGGATCCTAGTTCTTTTTTTTTGTAGACACGTATGTGTAGGTTCTCTATGGTCACTTTATTTTGGTTGCACTTTATCCGTCCTCCATGTTCAGATTAATTACTAATTGGACTCTTTTCCGAGGCAGAAACCAAAGCGCAAGGCCCCAACCACAAATGGCAATAGCAATGGCAACGCCAGCGATGGCCGCAATTCGGAGGAATCTGGACAGGATTCGAAGCCAAATGGAGACGGGTAAGATGATTCGATCCGTAAATCCGAGCCGAACGATGAGTTATTGTTGTTGTTGCAGGCATGAGAAAAAGACTTTTGAGAAGAAGGTGCTGGCCCAGGGCAGCTCCAGCACGGACGAGGGCTGCGACACGGATCAGGGCAACGAGGTGGCCAAAGAGGGCTCCCAATCGTCAACGGATCTGACCAGCGTACAGGCGACACGAACACGCTCCTATGCGAGCAGCAGCAGCTCCAGCGGCGTACTGGCCGGCAGCTATTCGAAGAGCCTCAGCCAGAACCTGAGCCGCGGCTCATCCAAGAGCAACTGCAGCGCCTATGAGAGCCTGGACTTTGTGCTGCCCTCCGTGCCGGACATTGCCGGCAGTTTGCCCTCCTGCATGAGCAACTCAATGCTGGCCGCTGCCGCGGCAGCTGCAGCAGCGGCAGCCGCCATTTCCCATGAGCACGCATCGGAGCGTTTACTGTACAGCAGCCACAACTCGTGTATCCATATGCCTAGCGCAGTTAATCCGCCGCCGCCACCGCCGCCGCCGGCGCCAGCGCCACCCAACCAGTCGCCGGCGCCGCCGCCCTTCGCGGACAAACGTTCGCCCATACATTTCCGTGAGGGCCGCCGCGCCAGCGACGGCCTGGTGGCCCAGGGCCTGCTCAGCTCCAGCTCGCTGCTGGGCGCCAGTCGCGTCTATGGCAGCTATCGCTACGAGCAGGCCAAGCGCCACGGCTGGCTAGAGATACAGCAGCTGCAGCAGGAGGCGGCTGTGTATGCCACGCCTGGCCATGGCCATGGTCCTGCTCATCTCGGACTGGAGGAGCTCAGCCTGGCCAATTGTCAATTTCCACACGGTCAATTTTATGCAATGCCCATCAAGCCGCATCACACGCTGCACCACCTGCAGACCCAGAACCACCACCACCATCCTCACCATCCCCACCATCATCATCATCATCAGCATCACCAGCAGCAGCTTGCGTATGCGCCGCCACCTCCGCCGCCGTCCCTGCTGCTGGAGGCGGCCGGCGAGCTGTATGGTGGCCATGGCCATGGCCATGGGCAGGGTCATGGCTGCTATCAGCCACCGCCGCCACCGGCGGGCGTCTATCATCAGCATCTGGGCGCCATGTCGCCGATGCAGAAGCCGCCGCTGCAGCAACAGCTGCTGCAGCATCGCCTGTTGCAACAGAAACGCCAGCTATTCCAGAAGCAATACGCCCTCGAGGCGCAACTGGCCGGCCGCCATCATCATGGCCACGTCCACTACAATCACAGCCATATGCATGCAACGCCGCCGCCGCCACCGCCGTCGCAGCTGTCGGCTCCGGCGCCCGCATCCGAACAGCAGCTGGCCGAGGATCTGTACGAGCTGGCCATGCTTGATAGGCCGCGCAGCGGACCGCCGCGTCTCCAACACTCGCTGACCATGCCCGGCGCGCACGTCTTCAGCCAAATGAATCTGAAGACCACCTACATCAGCCAGCCGGCCAGCGAAACTGGAGCTGCAGTCGGAGCTGGAGCTGGAGTTGCATGCAGCTCGGCGCCACCGCCGTCCACGACGCCAGCAACGCCACCAGCGACACCGCCGCAGGCGTTGCTCAATAGCCATGTGGTGCATGGGCATGGACATAATCATACAGCTCCTGGCCATGTCCATGGTCATGGTCATGGTCATGGTCATGGCCATGCCGAGGCCGAGTATCGCGCACAGACAACGACGCCGCCGGTGCTCAGCCTATTCACGCCCAGCTGGCAGACGCTGGTCAAGCCGCTCAGCGAGAGTCCCATACTGGAGATATCCGAGCATTTGGAGTCCGTGTGAGTGTGCGGGGGCGAAACATTTTTAATATGCTCGCAATTAATATTTAAAAAATTAATTAATAATTATTTCAAAAACAAACTAAAATAATTATTATAATAATTCTATTCATATACATGCAATACCATATATATATATATATATGATATACGATACTATTATACGGTAATACGATATACACACACACATTTATAGGCTTTACATATACATATACATATACATATACAATACCGTTAGTGAGAGAGAGAGGCAGAGAGATCCGTTAGTTCCATTTGGCAGTTCATCGATTACTCGTAACGATTTATCGACTATCGATTATCGTTATCGATAGGTATTACCAAATTATTGGATCATTTAGTTGTGTTACTAGCCTTAAGTAGTCCAAGTTTCGTACGCAAACACACACACACAGACACACACATAGACACACACATAGACACACACACACATAGACACACATTGGCATATACAATATGTATATTGATAATAATTATATAATAAGCTATACCAAAAATATTCTGGTACTAGACGCAATATTCGAAATTCCCGAAAAATGAGAAGTTAAAACGAATTAAGAAGGCGAACAACGTCAAAAACTACATATATCAATTATTCGAAGCATTTATTGATGGCATGGTGTATACATTATATAAATATATATATATATATATACCACACATATATATATATATATATATGCATATATATTGTATATGTATATGTATTGGTACAATAATTAGCGGCAAGCAAATAAATAAAACATCGATTGTTCTTAAACATGGAATTCAAATGTAAACCAGATATTAAAAGACATTTGGTATAAAATGCAATATACTTTTTCGATCATACGCTCCGACTTATCAATATACCGATCTTTGTTACACAAAAAAAAAAAAAAAAAACAAACAACAAGATGGAAGTAGAAGGTGGGCAGCGATTTTAATTCGATAATCCTATCCATATCCATATCTGCATTGCTGCATCCCGAATATGGCAGAATAAAGCTATCGATTTTGGAGCCTATATATGATATATATATGTATATCAAAATAAATTAGACTAAGCATATAAATCTTCCATATATCGTATAAATATATATGCTATATCTATATGCGATAAATGAAAAATTGATATACGTAACATTTGACACCTATGAAAGGTGTGACCTTATATTAATTATATATATGTATCTTTTGTATATTATGATGCATAACAGTTTTACGGATCTGGAAGGGGCATTTGTATGGCATCGGGGCTTTGTTCCCCATAATATATAACACTAGATACGCTTATAAATGTGCGTACATATCTTGATTTCTAGGCCAGTTAATATACGGTCATATCTTTTAGTTTTCTTACATATATATCAAGGTACGGGCTCTAGAACGCCTCAATATGAAAAGAAAGCTTTTAAACGGATACGGATATGCATATGGATATGGATATGAATTTGTATGGGTCTATGAGTATGTATGCACCTCTAATATGCGGTCACACCTTTTCTGGAAAACCTCCCTTCGTATGTATGTATATGGATAGTCACTGCTGGGACGGAACTCGGGATGCGTCTCGACTCCCCACATGGATCACGTTTTGAGCGCCCGATTCGATTCGAGATGCTTCTTCAGGGCCCGCTGCTGCTGCTGCTGCTGCTCGGTCTGGTGACAGCGCAGCAGGTTCCAGTAGGCGCGCCTATACTCGGAGCTCATCAGCACATAGATCAGCGGATTGATGCAGGTGGTCAGATAGATCAGCAGATAGCCCATTATGTTGAAGACGTGCACATCGTTGGCGCTCTTCCAGATCTTGGCCACCGTAATCGGCAGATAGCAGATGACGAACCACACAAATATCACCAGTATCATCTTGAGCAGGCGCCGATCCTTGACGCTCATCCGACCCGGATAAATCGACGAGGCGTTCGATGTATTACCCATGGACACATAGTGCGATTTGCGTGGACTGAAGCGGGTGAACGAGGTGCGCAGCGATGTGGTGATTGGGTTCTTTCTGCCAGACGAAAGCGACAGAGCGAGAGGGAGAGAGAGGGAGAGACAGAGAAAGAGGGGGGATAAGATTATGGGTTATGCAGTTCGGAAATAAACAAATATTTGCCCAATTCGCGAGAGTCTACAAATTTGTTTGCACAAAAAATGTAAATTTCAATATTTTTATCTGGCAAAGATACGACTGAATCGTAAACGTTGACCCCTATGTGATAATACTAGGCAGTCCAAATATCTAACTGTTTGTTCTTTGAGTTTCAAATTCCTGGCGACATCGATCCCTTTCTCTCTCAATTAAGTCTCTTGAGTTTTGGCCAAAAGATCAAATAGTTAAAATTGCTATTTGCAAGTTGGTTTTAAGTTTACTGTGCATGTTAAATATAGTTGCAGGCTACTCGAATAGGATTTATGAATAGAGAGAGAGAGAGAGAGAGAGAGAGTTAAAATCAGATGTAATTATAATCACATCGAAGATGTAATGCCCTTTTCTCTCTATCTGAAGTCTCTAGGATTTCATATTGCGATTTGCAAGTTGGCTGTAAGTTTACTGTGCATGTTAAATATAGTTGCAGGCTACTCGAATAGGATTTATGAATAGAGAGAGAGAGAGAGAGCTAAAATCAGATGTAATTATAATCACATCGAAGATGTGATGCCCTTTTCTCTCTATCTGAAGTCTCTAGGATTTCATATTGCGATTTGCAAGTTGGCTGTAAGTTTACTGTGCATGTTAAATATAGTTGCAGGCTACTTACGAGTTGCGGCCCTGCTCCAGCTGGCTCTGGGATTTGTTGACTGTCGCATCGGCAGTTGCTGGACCCGTTGCTGGAGCGGATCCAGAAACTGAATGCTTATTGTTGGCCAGATTATTGTCCTGCAGGACAACATTGGCATCGATGGGTGCCTCCTGTTTGATGCTGTACGAGATGGGAAAACTCTCCGAGGAGGCGTTGTCATCGATGTAGGCCAGACTCTCGGCGACCACAAAGGGACGCGATGTGCCGAAGTCCGCATCCTTGTCCAGCTCCTGCTGCCTATCCTTGCTCTTGACCTTGCTTTTATCCTTTGGCTTGTCGGCGACCGGCGGCTTCTGTGTTTGCGTGGGCGTTTGTATGGGCGGCGTTATGGCCAGCTCGGAGCTCTTGGCGCCCGCCCGCATCGCCGCCTGGCGCACCAGCAGAAAGATTCGTGCATAGCATATGACAATACAGACGCAGGGCAGCATAAAGGCGGCCATAAAAAGGAACTCCTTGGGCGAACGATCGTACTTGTCGTGCAATATCGAACAGGAACCGATGCTCGTGTCCAGGCCAAAGCGGCCCCAGACGCCGCGCCATGTCGGTATCATGATCGAGAACGTGACCAGCCAGGTGCCCGCCACCATGAGCGCCAAATATCGACGCTGATAAATGCTGTTTTAAGCGGAACGAGAGAGAGCGAGAGAGAGCGAGAGAGAGTGGGAGAGTGGAAGCCGGGAGCTTGATTGAGAGCAGAAACCAATAACCTACCGTGGATACTGGCGCGGATGGGCAATGATGATGTACCGATTGATGGTGATCAGCGAGACGGAGAGCAGCGATACGGCCAGAAGGCCATAGCGGAGCAGCGGAAAGAGGCGGCACAACAGATCGCTGTGCGTCCAGGCGCGCTCCTTGAACGTGGAAGCGGCCAGCGGCAGATTGAAGCAGCCAAAGAGCAGATCCGAACAGGATAGATTTATGATGAATATCGCCGTCGAGTTGCGTGTCTGTTTGCCGCGCGACAGCGCCACAATGGTCAGCAGATTGCCGGGCACACCGACAATGATGAACACAATGCAGGCGATCCATGCGAATGTCAGCAGCTCGTCCGAATAGCCCTCGAAGAGCTCGTTCTCCTGGTCCATGCTGTTGCTGCGATTGGTGCCGCCAGCCTTGCGGGCCAATGCCAGCGGCTGGGCCACCGCGCCTGGCACGCCGAGCAGCTGGATGTCCAGGCCCTGCGCCTGGCTATCCAACTGGTGAATCATGCTACGCCACGCTCGAACTTCTGACTGGTCGCGGTTCGCTCAGCGGGATTGGCAGCGCGGTTTGGGGTTGGGTGTGCGCAGCCAAGGAATGCGGCGTTTCAAACTATGACGCGCTCGTTCCTGCGCCGATTTTTGTACTAAACTAAATTCTATATATCCACACTAGCCCAAATAGCCAAGCATCCAGCAAAGAAATTAACAAATACAACAATACAGCATCAAGTGTGCTCGGTGAGCTGCTTGTGCGGGCATGCCCGACTGCTCAGTTACCCTGCGCTCAAAAAAAAAAAAAAAAATGTTCCACTTGATCAGCTTCAAAACATTTCTTGTTGAACGTTGAAAATCCTGTGACCAATTGCACACCAAATTTCTCAACTCTAGCCCTGTCAGGCATGGCCGACTGCTCAGATACCCTGCGCTCGAATATCACATTTCATATATTTCGAGAAATTTCTACCTGAGCTACATGAAACATTTGCTGCAAACATTGAAAGTTCTGTGGCCAATCGCATACCAAATTTCCCAACTCCAGCTCTGTCAGTTGCCGAGTTATCTGGGTTATATAAAAATCCAGGGAACCGAAGCGCAGACTTGTCACAAATTTCAAGACTCTACTTCAAAGGCTTGCAGAGATCTTTAAGTTATGGATCCAAAGATTTGTGCGTATATATCTTGCATATTCTTCGATCGACTTATCTAGATTCTTATGGTTACAGGGTATTGGGAACGAAACGATACGAAACTTTCGAAAAGGAAAACAACAACAAAAACTTTTTTTTTCATTCTTTTTTTGTTTTTATTGTATACAACAATTGACTTCATCATCGGGTAATTTGAAATGAGCGGAGCGCTTTGTTTACATTGTTCTTATATTTTGGCCTTTTCTAACATTTTGGTTTTTTTTTTTTTTGTTTCTGCTTTTCGGATTGTTTCTTTTTCAGAATTTGTTCAAATGGAACAGAAACCAGGGCTGCCAGCATAGTCGAAAAAACGCCTAAAGTTGCATATAAAGTCGATTGATTGGGCCGCTGCCCTGGATTTTTGGGGCTCTCTCGCAATTTTCAAATAGAATATTCTTTTTCTTTTCAATTCTTTCGAGTTCCAGGCAATGGGCATGCACCCACGAGCAGCTTCCTCCGCCTGGCTGCGGATAATATATGGCTGGGCATGCTAGCCACGACCGCAATCAAAAGAAAGAGCATAAATTTTGTCGGTATTTATATATACACACACACACACACACACACACCAACACATACTAACCGCAAAAACGAAAATATACACTTTACAGGGTATTCGCTAACAAATACCTATAAACAACCCAAGAAGTATTTGATAGGGAGTTGAAAGAGTTTTCAGTACTCATCGAATTTCAACTTACTTTTCGAGTATTCACTATGATTCATATTATTTATGTAGAGTACATTTAAAGGGCAGAGTTATATTGCTTATATAGGGTATAAATCGAATATTAGCTGAAAGAAGATATTCAATGTGCTCACAGCAAATGCTGTACTCTCTGCATTTAATGGATTAGAATAAAATAGAGTCATGTGCAATTCTGGTTTATAGAGTACTTTTATTGGTCATATGCTCCACTTGGAAACTATTTTATCTGAACATATATTCCAGGAATATCCTAGCCTGACGAGTACTACTTAAATATAACTACGGATTGATTATATATAGTATACGTTTGTAATATATAGGGTATATGCCGCAAATAGAAACTGTTTAATCTGTCTGAAGAGTACTTAAATAGAATAAATATATAGGGTATACTGCTTGGGGAGTATGGTATTTATAAGGAACTAAGCAAAGATAAGGTATATAGATTAGAGCAGAGCATATATATATATACATATATAGATACATCGAGTCTATTTTAGTTATAGAGAACATGGGAGTATCTAACGCCCTTCCATGTGTAACCCCAGCGACTGACTGGGCCCGTTTTCCAGCTAAATGTACGCCCCCCGTGACCCCCACGCGGTCACCGAGCGATCGGGCGATCGGGCACGATGGCGTCAGAGCAGATCGATTCGATTTGGGAACTGCCAGTAGCCGGGTCGTCCGCTCGTTTAATGCCAGCGTCATCTTAATTAATTAATGAAGCAAACATTAAAAAGAAAACAAAAAAAAACCAAAAAAAAAAATAGTCGCTGAGCGCAGAGAGGGGCTGCACTGGGTGCGGGCCTGCTCCGGGTTCATTGAGTAGAGCGCGGCGAATGGGCTAGCTGCAGGGTAGGAAGCAGGGGGAAGGGTACTTTAATGGGCATGTGAATGAGAGTGAGAGTGAGAGTCTTGTCAGTGTGAGAGTCTTGTGTGTGTGTGTGTGTGTGTGTGTCATACCGAGTCGGATGAAAAAGTCTTTGGCAACAATTGAAAATTGACCGGCAACGCCCGCGGTTCTCATTAGCCAAGAGCTCACACACACACACACACAGAGACACATGTATATATATAGATAGTGTATATACTTTGATATGCGGTTGGGATCGATAGCCAACTGACCGCTAATCAGATGCCCTTTCGAGCAAACAGAAACCCATCGCAACGCATTGAGCTCTACGCAATTAAAGAGATACACACACACACACACTCTCTCTCTCTCTCTCTATCACTCTCTCTCTCTCTCTCTCTCTCGCACACACTTCAGTATATACATATCTATAAACGATCGTGTTCTTCGCAGCATAAACAAACGCGGCCGTCGTCTACTCGATTTGTGTAAACATTTGTGAAATAGTTGATGGAGCAACCCGAAGCGAAAAACGAACCCGAAACCGAAATCGCAGCCCCCCTCCTCCCTCTCCCACTCACACTGCTGTCGGGCCTTATCAATATCAATTCAAGCAATGCGTGTAATTCCGTCTACTCAAAGGCAGTCACAGTACAGTGAACGCACAAATCAATGGACTAGACAAACAAAGATCAAATTTGTTGTTGTTTTTAATATTTTTTTTGTGTAATAATTTTCGGTTGGGAGTATTTTTAGTATTTGTTAAGGCTGCCTTAAAAAAAAAATCGTAGAATCTGAGCAGAATTGAACGAAAAAAGTTGCATGCAATTGTTTTCCATCGATTTTCCACCGTTGCGTGTGAAAAAGAATACGAATACTGTACGAAAACATGATATATATCTATATATACTTATATATGTATATAACAATCCATGATCAATTTAATCGAATTAACAGAAAGAAAGAAAGAAAAACGAAATTATAAGGCTTTCAAAAACATTCAGAAAATCAAAAACTGGATTAACTAGAACTAGAAAAGAAGAATTCGTCTTAAAAGGTGGGTTATCAAATATGGCATAGAGTAATACTTATCTAGTAACTAGTGAGAAGCTTTAGCTTAATCTAAACATGATCCAAGCGCCTGCAGTCCAGCACATAGGGCTGGCCATCGGGCAGGAAGAGGGTAACCTGGACGGTGCCATCTGGATTCTCCAGATCATCCGTTTCCATGACTACCTGCTCGGATTCGGTGGACATGGGCTCCAAAGCTGCACTTACAGCCGCAACCGGACTGCCAGCCGGTTCATAGCTCCTGATGTACTCCTGTAGATCATCGTCGCTCGCTCCGATATTCTCAACTTTGGGTCGTAATCAAAGAAAAAAAAGAGAGAAAAAGCTGTTTAATCGGTACGGTAACAGAAGATAGTGCCGATCACTCGGAACATATCGTTAACTCTGGAGCTATACCATTAAAATCGTATGCATTCACATTCAAAGATTCATCTGGCCACATTGGAGCAACTGGTTCCGGAACTCCAGCAAAAACCAAACGATTATCGGATGCGAATTCGGCCGGATCTGACGTATCGGGCTGTGGTATTCCAAGAAGGGAGTGCACAATTGGCGAATGAAATTCGTGAGCGGATTCGTTCGAGCCAATTGGCATGTTCGCAAACGAATGGAATTCGTCCTCGGTAGAGTTTAGGGATTCTGGACTTCCACGAGCCGCCAACTGCGTTGCGGAACGCGTCCTGGCAACTGGCTTAAATGACGATTGGCAAGGAGCAATTGGCAAGTCCGATTGGGTGACCCCGCGGCCAGATAGCTGAGTGGCCGAACGAGATCCAACTTCGGCTATGCTGGAAGTTTTTGGCATCAGCTGACTCGCCGAACGAGATTTGACAACGGAACCTACTGAGCGTTCGCAGGGCACAAGTGAAAGTTTGAGCTGCGGAGTCGCACGGACCCCGTCGGGAATACTTAGACATGGTTGTGGAAGCTGCTGAGCAGCTAGTTCAAATTCTACGTCGGCTTCAGACAAGATGGAGAGCTCAGTTGCCGGGCTAAATTCAACGTCGTGAATGTTTGGGCCAACGTCTGGCCCTATTGAATCAGCTCCGACCTGTTCGTAAAACCGACTTGGCAGCTTCGATGCGGACGCGTTAGGAAAGCACAATGAAGGTGCTGGAATTACTTCTACCATGTCCATGTTCAATTCCGACCATTCAGATGTTGTCATTGAATGTACCGATTCAGCGCAAGTTTCGAGAACTGTTCGAATTTCATCAGAAATCTGTAGAATTTGGGCTGGATCCTCAGCTCTTGGCGACTCGTTATCATCTGCTGGTGACTCTTCACACATTAATATCTTATTTGCCAGCCAAGTTTCCAGCTTAGAGTTGTTGTTCTCATGCGTATGTGAGCATATCTCAGAGCAGTCCACAGATGATATTGAATCAACTGGTACCGCTTCCTCAGCGATTCCTTGAACCATTGAAGGTTCTGAAGATACTTCAACAGTTTCAAATAGTTCGGTCTTTTGAACAGCATGTAAAAGTATTATTGTCTCATCATTTTCCTGAGTATTAACTGTTTCTGCATTTCGATTGGTTTCTTCAATATCTTCGATCTTGAAAAGTTCTTTAAAGAAGCCTGCAAAATCATCCGAACTAGCTTGTGCAGCCTCGAGCTCTTCTTGGATCTTTAATGGCTCTTTGTACCCAATTGGATTATTATATCGTCGGACAGCACTGACCCAATTGTCATCTTCCTGCGCGGCTTGGTGTACATTGAAAGAATCCTCGTTGGAGATCTTTAGTAAATTCGCAAACTGTGCTTGCAATGCCATGTCATCGTTTCCTTCTTTATGGAAAGTTTCTTCCAAATTAAATGGCGCAACGCCCGCAGCAGCTGGAGTTGACCCTTTGATGTCGTCCCGATTCACCTGTCCAATTGCTTCCTGAGCAGCGTCTGATGTGGGTTGCAATAACTCAACATTTTGTTCCATAAAAAAGGTTTCTTGCGTATATGGAATATCGGCTAGGAATTCTGTGAAGCTGTTGTCGAATGTATCCTCATGCTGGGCAGATGTCTCAGAGCAGTCTACAACTGATATAAGATCTTGCCAATCTGCCTCCTTGTCGGGCTCCTTAAACAACGAAAGCTCTTCAGCTTCAGATAATACGGTAGCCAATATATAATCTAACTGGGCTTGCACCACGTCATCTTGGTTGTTTGATGGCTTCGCAGATCCTTTGCCTACGCCCTGCTCGGATTCTACAAACTGACAAGGTTTTCCAGCAGCATCTGGAATGGTGGTGAGTCTCCCATTCTCTTCGATATGAAAAATCTCGACTGGCTCAAATGGAACATCCTTCTCAGAGGATTCACCTAATTCTGGCTCAGGTTTCAGGATGTCGGGATTATCTGCACATGCAAAATTCTCCGACTCTTTGATCATTGAAAGTTCCTCAGACTCTTGCATGTTTAGCGACAGTTCGGAGGACTCGGAAACTGATATAGAATCTTCGGTCTTCCGTTGCATTTCGGAATCTTGAATACCTAATGGTTCCTTAGATCCCACTGGCAAATCAACTTGTTTTAAAACTACTCGGCTCAGCCACACGTCGTTGCCCTGTTCGGCGCCTTCAATCAAGAAATCCGCAGATTTTACTGACAATATCGGGGATTCGTGCTCTTCCACATGCAAATTTTCTTCCGGATCCTCGCTGATCTCCAGTTGGATTTCCAATTTTAAATCGCCGTCCTGAATCTCTGGAAATGCCTTGAATTCTGCTGACTTGACTGGCGCGTTAACTTCTTGAATTGTTGGATCTGCGATTGGAGCATGTCGCTCGGCAGCTGGATCGAACGGCTTCTCATCGTCAAACAGATTTTTTGATTGGAACTCGAATTCCATCATCTTAACCAGAGTCTCTGATCCCAAATCCGGCTGCTCATCATGTTGTTGTGTGGCGTCACCTGCGCCGTTTTTGTCGGCTCCGGCAGATCGTGCGCTATCCTTCTGCTGAATTTTCGAAACCATGTCCGATTCCAGCGACTGGCCAGCCGCTGTGCCGGCAACAACCGAAGTTTCATCATCAATCTCCCGCAGTGCTCTTAACATGGCTAAGGCTTCCAGGTGTGCTGTCTGTGGTAACAATTGACGCAGAGATCCTTCCTTTCGTGGCGACGAGCATAACCCTATAAGCGTTCCAAGTAGCCAATGAAGGAACCTTACAGAGCCTGCGCACAGCGTATAGGCCAACATCTCGACGACGCCAGCCGCCAGGCACAACAAATAGGCTAGCCAAAGCAATTGGCTAGCTAGATTGAGATTGATCCAGGTGACACGATTGACGCCCTCGTATATTCTCTCGTAATGCAGATAGACGGTCCTGGGATTGTCGTATGCCACAAGGCTGAAGCCTTTGGTCAATTGGATCCTAAATAGCGGTGTTTTCTGTCGGTCCTGCCGTTCCGCCTGTTGCCCTTGCGTCGTGTGCGAGTCCACTTTGCTTCCATCCCCGACATGCTCCAATTCATCGCCATAGGGATTGGTGTACATGTGCACTGGACGCTCCACAAAATCAGACGGATCAATCTGTTCAATGTCCGGTGGCTCGAAGACATCGGGCACAGCAACATGAATGCTATATTGAGGTCCTCGCAGACGTAACCATATATGCACAACCGGATTGGATAAAGGCGAAAAGAACCACAACAAGTATGAGGTTAGGATTAACCAATCCATGTTCTTGAGCCAACAAATTTATGAATGCTGTGAACCGAAATTTGTTTTTCTTCTGAACTGAAACAATTGAAACGTGGTTTACTGACATAGAAGACACAAATGAACTTAGCATTTGTTTCTACTTAGAGATTCTTCTTCTTAGAATTCCCCATTTCATGCAATCATGAATGTACAAAATACTCCTTTTTATGCAGCTTTTGCAGAACAGCAAATGAACTGAAATGATAACGAGGTGGCAACACTGTGACAACAATTGACAGTTCCAATTTGAATTGGCGTCCTTAACGCTTTGGAATAGCTTAATTTGTATTTAATTGAATCAATATAATCACAAATTGACAAACTATTTTTAATCAACGTTCAAACTCTCGAATTTCAATTTAAGTTTGTCAAAACAAATTTGCAAACTGAGCAAGCGCAAATGTCACTTAAAATGGCGACATCCTCAAAAACCAGGGCAGCATATCACAAATACATACAATAAAAATACCACAAATGCCAAGCGATAATGCAGCCCTGCGTACAATACACTCAGTCGTGCTCTACACGCTGCCATCTAAAGCTCCTGCGAGTGACCTACAACGCATGTATAACATTTCATGCATGCATACTTAATTGCAGGTAATTTCCTCGAATACTGCGCATAGTAAAGCTTAATAAAAAAATAGGTTTAACATACAGATTTGGCCATATGCAATCGTATTAGAAATATTAAAATCGTTCGATGCTTGCCAGTGCTGCAAAATTGAGTAAAACTATTGTTTGACAGGATATTTAAACAGTTTCTAACGTTATCTAAAGGGCAGGCCACATGGTGCCCTCTAGTTAAGTATTGTTATGGGGTATATACATATGTATTTATGCTTGAGTATGCGCTTCACTATGCAATAGTTGCATATCTCGCGTTTCGTTGTGCGTATCGCCTATCTATAAAACAAAAATAAAATAAAAGCAATACACAAACAAATACTCACACACATGCACACGCACACAACATGCATGCAGTATCTAACGCGATCGGCAATCGCATGAATCGCATGTGCCCCCGCCGCCCTCTGCAATGCTGTCTGACAAATATGTACAATAACAACAATAACAGTAATCGCCAGCAGAGAGCGTACGGTCAATGAGAGCCAATGTGTGCGCGACAAAAAGAGAGAGCGCATGTGTGTGTGTGTGTGTGTGTGTGTGCGTGTAGAGCGAAATTGTCAACAGCCAACGGCGAATATGAATTGACAGCGACGACGACAGAGCTGCCGCCCCAAAAGCGGACACTCGATAATGTGCAGTCGTCGTAGACAAACGCAGAATAAACGAGCGCGCAGTCGAACACCATTTAACCGTTACAGTTTAGTTTGCTTTCGTGCGTTTTGTTTTGATCGCGCTCTTCCCTTGAAGAATTGTAGCTGATATATTATTTTTTTTGATTTCTTATTGTGAATAACGCGACAAATGCGTTTGTGTGTGTTGTGTGTGCTTGCAACATTTTTACCTGTATATGCGAAAGTCTGCAAGCTGTTTGAATCCCAAATGTATTAGTCATGATCGCGAACGCTCGTTGCCGCAATTTTGAATCATCCGACACACCTCCTGCCCCCTGCCCCCCCATGCGCCCGATCCACAACTGAATGCGCTCAGCATTCGTGAATAACCCGGCGGCAACAGCGAGCGCAAATCGTTAACTGTTTACATTGCTCAGAGCTGGCTTAAGTTCAGTTAAGTTCAGTTCACCTGAGTGAAGTTGTGGCTCAGTTATTACTCATAAACACCTGAGCGCTGACTTTAGGTCGCATCGCAGCGGGATTTGCTCTCAAACAGCTGCGATTACGTGAAATAATCAACAAACTAATGTCTGATAAGCACAGCGGGTCGAGTAAGTGCGTGATTTGTGATTTGTGATCAGTGATCAGTGATCGGTGATCGGTGATCGGTGGTCGGATCGTGAAAGTCAGATTGTCTGCCCCTAACGAATCGCATGTGCCACAACAGAAGGCCAGGTGAGTTCTCTAGGCTGATAAGATAAGTGCACAAATATTTCGCAAACAAACAGACTCGTTAGGTGTTGTACACGGCGTATACGTAACATTTGTCTGCCTGATCTAACAATATGCCAAATCCCTCAGATGCGTAGTTAATGAACCTATATACGTCAGAGATCTGTCAGAGATCTATTCAACTTGATTCTTAGTTATGCACAGCTTTTTATATAACCTAACGATCTGTCAATCCAACGATCCGTCGATCTATAGCCCAAGTATATCCAATATATATATATATGATAACTGTATGAATTGAATGAAGAATGTAGATTGTTTAATTAAAACTTATATTAATAGGAATTATTCGCATTGCAGAACTTATCATAAACTATGTTCCGATAATTCTGGAAGCGTCAGCTTCTCGGTAATATTCAAGAATATGTTTAGGTTCCCACATTCCTCTACGCATACGCGACAGCCTCTCGTCTCATGTTGTAGCTGACATTCGAGTAAAGAATTGAATAAAAAAGCTGCCTTGGATTTTGCGTAAACAATAAAGTGCTTCAAATACAAGGCTAGAATTTCAGTGTTGATTTGTATTGTGATTTGATACAGGCGTAAATTTTATATTTCTGGTAGATTCTGATTCTGATAGAAGATGAAAAAGCGATAAATTGGCGATAGCTGGCCGCAACTTTATGCTTTTTCGCAAATAAAAAACGAGTTAAGGTGAACGAAATGTTCGTTAAGTTTTGAAAAACTTTTATGCCAGGGTTGTATGCAAATACCTTTAGAAGATAGAAAAGCGATAAATTGGCGATAGCTGGCCGCAACTCTAGAAAATAATTTACGCTTTTTCGCAAATAAAAAACGAGTTACTTGGCATATGAAATTAACGAAAATGTGAACGAAATGTTTCGTTAAGTTTTGAAAAACTTCTATGCCAGGGCTTCTATGCCAGGGCTGCATATACCATTAAGAAGATAGAAAAGCGATAAATTAGCGAAATCCCTTCAGGCTGCGAGTCATTTGTATGTTTGTGAAGCAAACCTATTTACAGGGTATCTCTCATACCCGACCTGCAGCTAGCATCTGCTTTTGTCATATATAACTGGGCGTCAGCTAATACTGAGAAATAAAGTAAAGTGAAAAGTGTTCCGGCATGTCTCATGCATATACAGATATATATATATATATATATGTATATATATTTATGTATATGTATTAGTTGATGTGGTGCACACTCAATTAATTAAGGTTCGGCGCTGATCTTTGCACCCGCAGCTACTGAGTGCTGTGTTTGACCTCTTTAAATTATTTAATTGACACTAATTTATTGTAGTGCAAAGAAAACAAAACTCGCCAACGGGTGCCGCCACAAAACGGGCTGTCAGTAGGGTGGGGCTTGCTGTCTTGGGGTGGGGAGTACGGCCCGGTACTGCCCCCGGGTTGCACCGAAGTTGAGCTGCCAGCTGCCAGTTGCCAGTTGCCAGTTGCCAGTTGGCAGTTGGTGGTGCTCGGTTGTCGTTCGATCGGTTGGGTTTTATTTTTCTTTCTATTTTTTGGGTGACAAGTTAAGGTCTGGCCGAGCTGTTCAGGTAGAGCTGAGCTGCCTTGGAGCCTGCCCCAAGCGGAAAGTATTCATGTGCCTCTGTCTGAACTCGCCTTATCTTGCAGCATGAATGACGACACAACTGCGAGTCCGAGTCCGGGCCTGGGCCATGGCGTGGATGATATGCTGACTGCGGCGCCGACGGGCACAGCGAGCGGCCTGGATGCTGTGGACGAAAGCGGGTAGGTTGCCCTCGACACCCTATCAGCGCCAGCTGCTGGTTAATTATAGCGCAGTGTGAGAGGTCCGATAACCGATCGTTAATATTACGCGGCCCATTTCAAGCGCCGCTCGACACAATCCCCCACAACAAGCTGATTGCGGGCCGCTCAGACGAACGATCGTCCAGAGGATCGGTCTGTGAACAATGGCCGGCGTCTCTTGGCCAGCGACTGCAACGGCAGATATGATGTGAAGGCGGCGGGCTAAAGGTCGATCACGATCACTTCAAGGATCAGCGCTGCGATCGCCTCAACTATTTGGATAGTCAACGAATTCATAATTTTCATAATTTGTTCTCGTATCATTTGCAGCTTCTCGCAATCGCTGTTGACCTTTGCGGCGATCATGACCTTTCTGATCATGATCGTCGGCATTTGCGGCAACTTTCTGACCGTTGTCGCGCTTCTCAAGTGCCCCAAGGTGCGCAATGTGGCCGCCGCCTTTATCATCAGGTAATCAAACATATATTTTCAATTGTGCATTAGATAATTTCAACGCTAACAACGAGAAAGAATGGTCATCTTCGGCTCGCCGCAGATTTAATACCCTGGCAGACCCAACCTTTTCATAATGCTTTGCCCGTATCTAAGAACCATAGGAAAAACACTTAATGTCGTGCATGGTGAAGATTTATTGAAAAACAAAAAGTGGTTCATACAGCTTTATTTTCGACCGATCGTTCCTATGGCAACTATATGATATAGTGGTCCCATCCAACTGGTTCCGACATATGTACAGTAATAGGGACTTCCCGACTCGGCTGTTGATACTGATCATGAATATATATATACTTTATGGGGCCCTGTGCAAGGGTTAAAAAAAGAAACAATCCGCGCAGCCAACTTAGCTTGTTATGTGATGAAAAGGGAGAGAGAGAGTGAGTAAGAGAGGAAGAGAGTGAGAGTGTGTGTGGGCATTAATTCGAGGGCTGCAAAAGAAAGGTTCACGAACTAGTTCAATGTGCGCGTTTTTTCGTGTATTTAAAGCCCGTTTTGAAAGAATTTAATTTATAATTCAATTTTTGCCCGTTCTACTGTAAATATTGCAAGCCATCAATATTTTCATGCAGAAATTTCGGGCTAGATTTGTTCTCTATTGAAATTTGACAACCTCGAAATGTGTTTAGATAATGGAAAACGGTTTTTTTTACGGAAACGTTTCGGGTTCGGGTTGGGTTCAGTTTAGCCAAAGGCTCGTTTTGTGGCAGAACATAAATTGAAAATTCGAGTTCGAACTGGCTGGGTGCAAGCTGAGTGGTTCAAACTCTTGCCGAATACCTTAACTAATTAAATTTGTTCGTTAATTTAAAAAAGTTAAAGTTAAAATACAATCAATTACCCTGTTAATGCAAATTAATTGCACTAAATTCTAAAAGAAATACCCTGTAATTATTTGTACAGCCTTTGCATAGCGGATCTGCTGTTCTGCGCCGTGGTGCTGCCCTTTCAGGGTCTGCGCTTTGTCCAGGGCACCTGGCGGCATGGCCCGGTGCTCTGCCGCCTCATTCCGTTCATCCAGTACGGCAATATTGGGGTCTCGCTGCTGTGCATCGCAATGATCACGATCAATCGGTACGTGATGATCACCCACCATGGCTGCTATGCACGGATCTATAAGCGCCACTGGATCGCGATCATGATCGCCGCCTGCTGGCTGGTCTCCTACGGAATGCAGCTGCCGACGCTGCTTGGTGCGTGGGGTCGGTTCGGCTACGATGCCCGACTGCAGACGTGCTCCATAATGAGCGACGCGCACGGGCACAGCAGCAAGACGACGCTGTTCATAACGGCCTTTGTGATACCCTGCCTGGTGATTATAGCCTGCTATGCAAAGATCTTCTGGGTGGTGCACAAGTCCGAGCAGCGACTGAAGCGGCATGCGAACAAACAGAACTCCATACCCAACAATTTGCGGCCAGTGGCCGCCGCGTCGCCCGCTGGCCAGGATGGATCAGTGCAGCCGACGGCGGCGGCCAGTCGTGTGTCCAGCGACAGCAGCAGCTACTCGACGGATGTGCCCGAGGGCAAACAGCCGCCGCCACAGTCGCGGGTCAAGGATCAGCGTGAGGTGCGCGCCAAGCGCAACGAGTGGCGCATTACCAAAATGGTGCTGGCCATATTCCTGTCGTTCGTCATCTGCTATCTGCCCATTACGATTGTCAAGGTGGCCGACAAGGATGTGGAGCATCCCAGCCTGCACATCTTCAGCTACATCATGCTGTACCTGTCCGCCTGCATCAATCCGATCATCTATGTGATCATGAACAAGCAATATCGCAAGGCCTACAAGACGGTCGTCCTATGCCAGCCGGCCAGGCTCCTGCTGCCCTTTGGCAAAACGAACGGTGCCAGCAGCGCCGCAGGTATGTACCATGGGCTATGGCCAGTTCAGTTGCATGCGAACCACATCCACTAAGTCACGCTATCCGTTCGTTTTAGAGAAATGGAAAGATACCGGATTGAGCAACAACCACAGCCGCACCCTTGTCTCCCAGATGTCCGCCGGCGCAGCAGCAGCAGCAGCGGCGGCGGCGGCGGCGGCGGTTGCAGCGGCATCGGCGTCGACGCCGCCGCCGTCGCCCGCATCCGATTGCCAGTCCTTGCCGGCGACCAAAGCGTCGCCTCAGTCACTGGAGCTGATGTCCCGATGTCCAGATCTAATAAATCGAACGAATCAACCGCCATTGGTTACGCCCCCGCCGCCATCGGTAACGCTGGCAACGGCTCAACCGAGCAGCAGCAACAGCAGCAACAGCAGCAACAGCGGCGGCAGTCGGCTGCCGCTCAAGAAGAGCAATCACTCCTACATCAACAACGGCTTCAACAGCAGCGGGCACAGCCAGAACAGCGCCGTTTATCGGCCCGCAGCTGGCTCCCCGCCGTCGGCAGCGGCGGCGCCATTGCGTCGCATCACCATGGTGGGGGACGATATCATACTGGAGGAGGAGGAACTGCCCGCAGTGCCCAGTCCGACGGCGACGGCGCTGTCAGTCAGCAAAGTAACCAAATCGCCCATCTACATGAACGTCAACAGTCCGAAGAGAAACCAATCTTATAGCGACAAGGCTTCGGTCAAGGATGCACTGCAGCAGGCATCTGTCCCATCCGACCAGGGCAAGGATCAGCAGGATGCTAGCAAAGTGCCCATAAAGTTTCCAAATCCAAAAGACTAACGAAATGCTTTAATTCCAAATATCGTAACTGTTACATTCCCCCCACGCCCCACCCCACCACCTTCCTCCACTACGTACGTTATATATATCTTGTATATCGTACATATCGTTAAGCATATATCCTCTATTCAATATCGACTACGGCATATTTATAGGCATATACCACATATATCACAAACAGTATACTGAGCTCTCAATATCGTTTACGGTATGTGTATACAAATATCTATGTGTGTCGTCAATTCCATATCGTGCTTACAATAACGTTTACGATAAGCCAAGTACTCAATATTGATTGCGTTTATATAAATATGTATATCGACGTATCGTATTTACCTATATCGTAAATTGTAGAATATCCCCAACATCGTTTACGAAGTGAACATATACGTTATCGTAAAAAGTATATCGTACTCAATATCGTAAATGGTGGCTGGCACACGTTATATATCGTAAATGTTATAACAAGTACTCAGTTCCGTTTATATCGTAAATCGTAAATCGTAAATCGTAAATGGTTTATTGTGCTCCCAATATCAATTGTGGCACATTCATACATATATCGTAATCGTAACATACTTATAGATATTTATCGCTGTCTGCACTTAGTATTAACCAGTCTATCTCCGAATTCCCCAAGCTCAAACTGTATATGCTGTTCAATTTTTAAAATATGTTGTCGATATACATAACCATCGTTAAAGTCCGTATCCGTATGTCTGACATAAGCAAGGCAACAAACCCATTTAAAAAACAAAAAATGCCTCCAATTATGATTCATTTGTAAAAACATCTATTCGAATCTAAAAAAAAACTATTCAATTTGGCTTAATATGAACTTTATATTTGTACAGCATTTCATTAACATGTTTGTCCACTGTTAACAGCTCATGTTAAAGTTATTATGTTATGCGCCCATGTTACAGTTATGGGCAAGGAACACTCAATTGTCGATCACGTTCGACTAGAGCTTATTTAATTATTTTTTATATAATATATTATATATATTTTTTTTTAAATATTATTTATAAAATTGTAAACTATCTTTATTTTTTTTTTTTCGTTACGATCGCGCTGAGCTCCGATTGGTAGGGGTCTGTTGCGGACCTTGACCCCATTTGATAGCTAGATTGTTAACCCATATAGTATGCCATAAAACATTCCATATATGTATTTATATATATTAACTATATCTGTAGCACTAACTATATATGTTTGTTTGTACCTATCGTAGCATAGATCGCTCGCACATTGGGCTGCACTGTAAAGCAATCGAATATACAATAATACTTATACAAAACATTTCAGTTCAGTAAATCTTATTGTAAAAATAGTTTAATCAATCTACAAATATTGGAATATGTATTTTGCCTAGTCTAATCATATTGCCGCTTATCTCTTATTCAGCTAGAGAATTAGAGAGTAAGTGAGAGAGTGAGAGAGGGAGAGAGTGAGTGAGAGAGATGGAAACACGCCCAGAATGTGGAGAACGTCGCGCTCTACACTGAGCGAAATTTGCAAAGCTTTAAAATTGATTTGAATTGATTTAATGAATTATTGATTTACTCAAAAAGTCGCGTTCTTTTCACTCTCGACATTCTTTCATCAAATGAGCCGCAATAATTTGATGTACATTTTTTTTTGGATCTGAGATCTGAGATTTGAGTGATGCCATCGACTGGCCTGGATCTGTCACACACAAAATATTGGCTCTTTGTCTCCCATTATTGATATATCCATGTTTAGTTCCGTATTTTATTGATAGTTTTGCTGGATGGAGGCACAGCGGGCGGCACAAACGAGCAACTGATAAGCGGAACTGCAATTCTCTTGAGCGCATCTGTTGCGATTTATGTGTGGCATTAGTTCAGTACGACAATGAGTGGCAATCGAAGCACCAGCAGCAGCGGCAGCGGCAGCCGGAGCAGCGGTAACAACAGGGGTAGCCATGTGAGCTGCCCGATCTGCTCGGAGCGTTATGGGGCGACGGATAAGATCTACGGCGGCAGCTGCGGTCATGTGTTCCACTGGCAGTGCCTGCAGCGCTGGTGGGAGGAGTAAGTGCATCGGGAATTTAATTGAAAACCTATATTAATCCGTTTCAATTGGACAGATCAGACAGTTGTCCGATTTGTCGCAGCAGCGGCGAAGAATATTTTCAACTTTATTTAAACTTTGAGGAATTGGAACTGGAGCAAAGTCTGGCACAGACGCAGTCGCATTCACCTGGACAAAGCAGCAGTCCCAGCGACTTGACCAGCGAGTACCAAAATCTTCTGTATGAATCGGATCTTTATCGCGACGAGATTGAGTATTTAAATGCACGCATCAGGAGTTTAACAATCCGTCTTTGCGATTATACTGATTCAGACTAAAGACTATATACACACACACACACATATATATATATATATATATATAGAATAAAAGATAGGATAAGATAAACAAACTTCCCTTTTAAGTTAAATGATCAGCGCTGCATTTTGGCGGCTTTGCCGATAGTCGTTTATCGATAGTTTGTGTCTGTCACAATCGTATTTTTTTTGTGGTCAAATTTAGTGCATTTGGCATATTTGAGTATTTTATTTGCAGTGTGTTTGAATTGGACGGCAGATCAGTTCGGTAAAGATAATTGCAAATAAACGCATCTATCAATTGTTTTTCATCAATTTGCCAATGTTTGTATATGTGCATGTGTTTGTGTACAACAATATAGTGCGAAAACTGTTTAAACAGTCGGAGCCTCGTACTGTGTGAAATCAAACAAGTGCGCATGCAAGTAAGTTGCACCGTGCATTCAATATAAAAACTAGATTCAATTTGAAAATTAATTTGACTTTGATCTTAACTGTGGACTTGATCTAGTGTGCTGTGCTTTGTTTGTTGTAGGCGCGTTCGCGAAATTCATTGTTTGTTGTTGGTTGGCGATTGCCTTGTCGTTTATTTAGGCCGAGGCCGGAGCCGGGGAATTGGCGCTTTGTCCATATGTACGCAAGTATGTGTGTATGTGCCTGTTCATTTGTGTGAGTGTGTGTGTGTGTTTTTTTTTTTTTGCATATGCCGCACATAATTGCAAGGAGGGTCGTTGCCGTCTGTGTGTGTTTGCGTCGTCTGGCTGGCTGGCTGGCTGCGCTTGTGTGCGTGTCTGCGTTTTGCCAGTACAACAAGAATTGTATTGCGACAGACACAGAGTTGCTCTGTGCGCTTGTGGTGAGAACTCTGCCGCTGGCTATGTGGTTGTGGTGCTGCTATGCTATGCGACAGGGTTGTTTAACTGTCTAAATTGCAAAGTGTGCACATCTAATTGGCATTTGGCAAACACAAAGCAGCCAAAGCAAAATAGTTGCCCAAATGCTTTTGTTGACTTTCTGTGCGTGTGTATGAGTGTGTGTTAGTGCGAGTGTGAGTTAGTGCCGTCTGACAGCCGCCACAATTTACAGTCGCTGGACAACACTGGTTGCTGGTGAATTCAAGCTGATGTGGTGAATTTCGTCTTTGTTGAGAAAAAATGTCGACGCGAAAAGTATTTTAATCATTAGTCAGAAAAGCCAGTGTATGCAAATTCTGGATTTTGGCAAATATCAAATCAAATCAGAAACACGTTAAGGTGCACAACTGGATACATAGTGGCAAAAGCAAGGCACAAATTATGTAAATGCAATCAACTGCAATTTATGCACAATTTCGGTTTGCCAGACTGCGACACGGTGGCGTTCCTGTCGACCACAAAGTGAAACTGCAGTGGGGAAAGTCGCACGCAGCAGCCCCGCACACATACACACAAAGCGACAATAAGAGCTATAACAAGAAGAAGAAGAGTAAAGTATGGACAATTGCGATCAGGACGCGGGCTTTCGTTTGGGTCCCATCAAGGAGGAGGTCAAGCCGGACATATCGCAGCTGAATGACAGCAACAACAGCAGCTTCTCGCCCAAGGCCGAGAGTCCGGTACCCTTTCTGCAGGCCATGAACATGGTCAACGTGCTGCCGGCCAGCAACAACAATAATAATCAGAATCAATTGGCGCCGGCCGCCCAGCAGCAACAGCAACAGCAGCAGCAACAACAACAACAACAATATCCGCCAAATCATCCACTTAGCGGATCGAAGCATTTGTGCTCCATTTGCGGAGATCGGGCCAGTGGCAAGCACTATGGCGTCTACAGCTGCGAGGGCTGTAAGGGCTTCTTCAAGCGCACAGTGCGCAAGGATCTCGCATATGCTTGCCGCGAGAATCGCAACTGTATCATTGATAAGCGACAGCGTAATCGCTGCCAATATTGCCGCTATCAGAAGTGCCTGTCGTGCGGCATGAAGCGCGAGGCTGTACAGGAGGAGCGACAGCGCGGCGCACGCACATCCACGGGCCGCTTGGGTGCAGCTGGCGGCGGCGGCGGCGGCGGTGCTGCTGGCGGTGGCCTGGCTGCCGGCGGCGGCATTGGTATTGGCAGCTCCGGCGCCGGCGGCGTCGGCGGCACCAATAGCACCTCCGATGATTTCATGCCGAACAGTGTGTCCCGCGACTTTACCATTGAGCGTCTACTGGATGCGGAACAGCGTGCGGAGGCGCATAGCGGCGATCGGGCGCTAACGTTCCTGCGCGTCGGACCCAACTCGACGGTGCAGCCAGACTATAAGGGTGCCGTCTCGGCGCTCTGCCAGGTGGTGAACAAACAGCTGTATCAGATGGTCGAATATGCGCGCCTTATGCCGCACTTTGCCCAGCTGCCGCTGGACGATCAGGTGATACTGCTGAAGGCCGCCTGGAATGAGCTGCTAATTGCGAATGTGGCCTGGTGCAGCATCGAATCGCTGGACGATGCGCTAGCGGGGATCGGGCATGATAGCGCCTTCGAGCGGCGATCACCGGTGCTGCAGCCGCAGCAGCTGTTCCTCAACCAGAGTTTCTCGTATCATCGGAACAGCGCAATCAAGGCGGGCGTGCACGCCATCTTTGATCGGATACTGTCCGAGCTGAGTGTCAAGATGAAGCGCTTGAATTTGGATAGACGCGAGCTGTCCTGCCTGAAGGCGATCATATTGTATAATCCGGATATACGCGGCATCAAGAATCGCGCCGATATCGAGCTGTGCCGGGAGAAGGTCTACGCCTGCCTCGACGAGCACTGCCGCCTGGAGCATCCCGGTGACGATGGACGCTTCGCTCAGCTGTTGCTACGTCTGCCCGCATTGCGTTCGATTAGTCTCAAGTGCTTGGATCATCTGTTCTTCTTCCGCATCATCAGCGATCGACCGTTGGATGAGCTGTTTATTGAACAGCTCGAATCGCAGCCGCCGCCTGGCCTGATTCTAAATTCGGAGTGAATTTCGATAAGTTATCGGAAACTGTTGCCTGTTATCGATAGAACGTATCGATTGCCGTTTATCGTTGATCGATTGATTGTTTCATTGTGATTGAGTTTGTTTGCATTTCTCTGCCAACCCTGCTCCCTACCGCCCCCCCCCCCCCCCCCCCTAACACACACACACACACACACCAAGTTCTTTGATAATTTTTAAACTGATAAATACATTTATTATTATTTTTTTTTCTGTAATAATTATATATAAATATATATATATATATACATTTTTTTTTTGCAACTAGAAAATGTTTTCCTTAAGATTGAGAACCGTTTATTGCTGTGTAAACGAAAAAAAACAAAAACAAAACAAAACATGACATACATATGTATACATATATATAAATATATATATATATATATATACATAAACAAATTGTAATTATTTCTTAAAATAATTGTACCCACAAGTTATAAAATACATGCGAATTATAATTATATATACAAAAGTGTACACAGATCTCCCTCTCTCTCCCTCTATATATATATATATATATATATATAGATATAGATATAGATATAGAAAGTGTTTTGCTTTACCTTTGGAATTTGTCCGCTGTCCAGAATCGCCAGAAATGATTGAAAGTGCAGCCGATGGTCGTGTACAGTGAACACTCGTTAGCTGCAACCATTTGAGTACGAATTGAAGCAGCTTTTTGCTCTTGATTTGTCCTTGAATCGTTTTCATATTGAAAAGAAATTTTCTATTTTTTTTTTTTAGATATTTATTGAAGAACTGTAAGATTCCCACTTAAGCGTAATATCGTTCGTTTATAACATATAAATCTCGCATATTTGAAATCTTCAATTGCTTTTTTGATTTCAAATTCGAATTGTAAATTAATCATTTTTTTCAAATATTTATTTTCTTGACCTTCATTTCATTCGAAGCGCGTTTTTCAATTTAATTCTGTTTTGATTAGTTTAAAAGTATTAAAAAGTATTTTTGGTGCTCGTCAAAAAAGATTCGAACTGTAAAATTTGTGTCCGTCCAAGGGCAGCGTTCGTTAACTGAGCTTTCACTGTACTCGTTAGTTTTTTGATTCTGAATATAATTTTAATTTAAACATAACTCCAATTGGAATATGGTGCACGCCAGGCGGATTGCAGTGCGTGCCAATTGGGCTGTATCCACTGCCAATTGGAAAATGTTAATGGACAAGTTATGTGCTACTTGGAAACCAATTGGACAATAGAGTTTGTTGTTAATCAAATAAATACCCAAAATATGTAATTTGGAGCTATTGGCAGAGCTTATTCTGCTTCTTCTTCTGCTGCTGCTTCAGCTGATGGTTTTGGCCTTCTTGGCAAAAGTGTGTCCGTTCGTCCGTCCGTCTATTTGTCTATCTGTCAGCGTGTGGATCTGTGGCGGGCATTTCTTTCAATTTTTTTTTTTTTTTTATTAAATTTATGTATGTTTTGCGTTTAAATATTTATTTACTGAAATATGGTATTAACGCACAGAACTAAGTCTATAAATAGATATTGTTTTCGAAAAAAAAAAAAAACAACTAAAATGAAAAATGAAAAACAAAAACAAAAAGCAAGAAATTTCGCCGCTGACGACGCACATTATGGGCCAAAAATAAACGATTTCTTCTTATTGGGCCGAGAGCGATCAGATGGGTGGGAGCATTGCGACTACGTAATATTCTGTCCCTGGTGTTGCTTCTTCTTCTTCCTCCTCCTTCTCCTCTACGTCTACTCGTTTTTCTTTAGGCATTCAGCGTGTCTGTCTGGAGGTGGAATGCGGCATTTCGAGAGAGCGAGCGAGCTTTTGCTGAGAGCGCTTGGCCTGCGAATCCTTGTGAGAGTTGGACTCTAAGCAAAAGCTCACCAATACACAAGTGTGTCAGTGTGTGTGTGTGTGTGTGTGTCTGTGTGTATTTGTATTTAAATTTGCGCTAGCGCTATAAAATATTTAATAAAACGCATAAATAATCTGTCTATATGCAGAAATGTATACATGTGTGTGTGTGTGTGTGTGTGTGCGTGTACATACATATATATTTATATACACATGTTCATGGTAGTTTTTGCACGGAAAAACCAAGTGGCATGCCAATAAAATCATGTATGCCCGCTCCCCCCACCGCCAGCTCAGCCTACAGTTATATATATATATATATATATGTGTGTGTGTGTGTGTGTATTGGAAAAGAGTTTCCGAAGCGAAATTAACAATTTGCTATTTTTGTAGCCATGCGGGGGCGGTATGATGCGACAGTCCGACCCCGAACTGACAGACGGACGGACGAACGGACCTGAACTGAACTGACAGACACGCATTGACCATCAGCAGCAGCAGCAGCAGCAGCAGCAGCAGCGGCGCCGACAGCGGCGGCAGTCGCAGCAGCAAACAACAAGTTGTTGTTTTCACACAGGGTGACTCGTTTGCGGCTGCGTCTGCGTCAGCGTCTGTTCTTGCGGATTCCGCTTTGCGCATGTGTGCGTGCGTGTGTGTGTGTGTGAGTGTGTGTTGTTATTGCATTTCCAAAAGCTAACGGCATTTGCTCTAACAGCTTCTAACTGTTGTCTGTGTGTGTGCGCGCTTGCATTCGTATGCATATCGATAATTATCGGCAGCTGAGAGACACGACACACGCATGCACACAAACAAAGCTAACTCGCCGCACTCACACAGACACACAGGCACACACAGCATCACTCAGCAGCAGCAGCAGCAGCAGCAGCAACAACAACAACAATTGTCTGTTGGTCGAATTCATACTTTCTTCTTTGCTTTTGCTTTGCCTTTGACTGCTGCCACCCACTCCCACTGTGTGCATATGTATATATGTGTACGTGTGTGTGTGCTTGTGTGTTTGTGTGTCGGCGCATGCTCGTTTGGGCATCTTCGTGTGTGTGTGTGTGTGTGTGCTTGTGACGACGAGAGGCGATCGCCGTCGTGCATTTGTTGTTGTTGCTTCTGCTGCTGCTGCACAGTTTTCTTCGACTGCCGCTGCTGCTGCTGCTGCTGCTGCTGCTGCTGCTGCTGCCACTTCTGGGTCGTCGCATACGTACGATATTCAGTTTTTGCTGGCGCGACATCAGTTTTGAGTTGGCTATCAACGCGAGCGGGTCTTTCTCTTTGCAAGCGACAAACGTAGATATTTCCATTAATTGTATATTCACATATTGTTTTGTTGTTTTTGTTATTGTTGTTGTTGTTGTTGTTGTTGGTTCAATACAAAATCAGTTTATTTTTTTCAATTTTTTTTAAACATTATTTTTTGATTTTGCCATACAACACGCTCGAAAAAAAAAGAGAAGAAAAACTGTCATCAAAAAAATAAAAAAAAAAACACTAATTTTTTTAAGACTTGTTGAAAAATAAGAAAAATACTTTTAAAAAAATATATATAGAGGCATATATATAGTTAAAAAAAAAAAAAAAAAGAAATAAGCTTTTGCAAATACGAATGTGTTGTATGCGTGTGTGTGTGTGTGTGTGCGTGAGTTGGGCATATATATATATACATATATATGTATATATATATGTGTGTGTGTGTGTACACATACAGATACATATAGCTGAATATATAACATATATATCTATATCTATATATATATATATTTATATATACATAATTCTTAGATATCTGTGCTAAATACTTTTCGAAATGGAACGTACCCAATTATTCAGATATATATGTATATACCATATACATACATATATATCTAATTATATATGAATACATATATGTATATGTATGTATATGTACGCATATAATATTCGTATTCGTACTCGAATCTGAATCTCAATCAAAGTCTGAAACCCTACACACACACACACACACACACACATGTATATATATATGCGCTGCGTGCCTGCGTTAGTGTGCGTGTGTGTGTGCGTGTGTGTGTGTGCAAGCATTTTCAAAATTATTTCAAATATGTACTACATCCACAATCCAATCCGCCCGAAAACGTCCCGTCTCGCAAAACCCCCTCCCACCGCGCCCCGCCCCGCCCCGCTCCGCCAGTGAAGCAGGCGAGATGATGTAGAAGAGGAAAAAGAAGAAGAAGAAGAGAAAAGCGTACCGTTCTAAACGGTACACGGCACATGCGTTGACGTTGACGCCGAAAATAAAATTTCGAAAAACATACTATTTTTAAAACGATACCAATACGAAACGGAACGAGATGAAACGAAATGGAACGAAACGAGCGAACGAGCAAAAGCGAATGTGAACAAAATAATTAAGTAGCAAATTATCGTGTTATACAACGGTTTTTTTTTTTTTTTTTTTATTTTTTTATATATATCTATATGTATATATATATATATACATATGTACATTTCGCGTTTATAGCCCCTGCCCCCTTGCGGCCAAAGACAATCTTGACTCTTGCGTTATATCTACTTTTTGTTTTTTGTTGGTTTTTTTTTTCTGTTTTTGTCTAGTTCGAGTTCGAAATGCTTCAATTGTAACGGTATTGTAGTACGAAAACTGTGTTAAAAACGCGCAACACCCTGTGCTGCACAGGGTGCAGCCACCTGTGCCCTTTGGGAAACAACCTTTGGATGCGAGTATGTTTCTTAAGCTCTTTCCGCTTTGACTGTTTTTTTTTTTTTTTCTTCCGTTTGCTTTATTTTTTGAGTGTATCGTTTTATCTATCTTTGGCTCTTTTGCTCTCTCTCTCTCTCTCTCTCTCTCGCTCTCTCTTTCACACTCATTCTTTCTCTTGCATCTTGCAGATCTTAAATCTTAAGGATCATCTGCGAACGAACTCTCTAGACATCAATCGACATATCTTGTACATATTTTGTTTTATTGTTATCCCTAAACGAACCGAACAACAAATTAGTTTTGTTTAGTTGAAATATACATAAGTATAAAGCCCCAGCCCGATCAAGTCACGACTCGAAACTCCCAAATCCCAGTTCTTAGGCCCAATTTAACAGTTAGCAGCGAATCCAAAAAGAAGAAGAAATCATAGATTCTTAAGCTCAGCACACACACGCACACACAACCAGCAAATGCAACATAACTTAAACTAAACTTAAAAAAAATTTATATATATATATATATATACATATATAAAAATAAAACTAAAACTAAAAAGAAAAGTTACCCAAACGAAGTAATCAAGAAAAGTGCAACCCCTCCACCCCTCCCCCAATCGACAGCAGCAACAGCAACTGCACCACCAGCAACTGCACCAAACGAAACAGCCACAAAATGATGATGGAGAACGGTATCTCCATGGAGTACGGCGATGGCTACATGGAGCAGGAGGAAGAATGGGAGCGCGAGGGATTGCTCGATCCGGCGTGGGAGAAGCAACAGAAGAAGGTGAGTGCCCAACAACTAAGTACTAGGCTAAGCTAAGTTAACATTCGAATAACAGCAACTGTTAGGAATACCGTTAGTTTGCAAATTGAAGCTGTCAATTGTATGGCCAGAGTTGCCAGACTTCAGGCTAGCGAATCGTTTGGAATAACATAAACTTTATAATTTTGCCTATTATTGAAGTCGAATTGGGAGAGCAATCCAACCAAATGCCTTTTTTTCTCAGTTCAGTTAACAAAAGCTGATGGAAGGAGTTAACTATTTGAAGTTCAAGAGTTGCCAGACTTCCCACACTTAACGCTCTATTTGAAGAACTTAAATGGCATAAATAGTTCAAGTTCTTATTAACTTTAAGCAAAATTTACATTGACCAAACTTTAAAGTTTAATAAGACTTATGGGATACGATACGGTTATCGATCGCATTGCAGGGCTAAAAATAGTTATCGATCGGTCAAAGAAAATATATTTTTAGAAAACAATCAATTTTCTTCAGTTAACGCCAGACTGTTCGACTTTTAGTCACTATTGAGTGATAGCTCTTAAATTATTGATATCTGCACATAGATCCTGTAGAATCCTAGTCATGGCCAGTGTTGCCAGACCCGACGCAGCTAACGATTTTAGGGCGTAGCGCAGTCGCTTGAGGAAAAATACGCATATTAAATACATAAAATAAAATTGTCTGTATGAGTTTATGGCTATAGCTGACATACTATATATATATATATATATATAGTATATGTGTTTAAATATATATATATATATATATGTATATTTCTTCGATTATGTTTCAATATTTGTGCGCGGCAGGCGAAAAGCTCAGCGCGCGTTTTAAAAATAGATTCATTTCATGGTTCTTTTTCTCGAAATGTTTGAAATATGTTGTACAAAAATAAAGCGTTGCTGCTGTTGTTGTTGTTGTTTCTGCTGCTCTTCATCAAAAATGATTTTGTGCCACAATCGTTTATCACTGGAAAACGCAAAAAAAAAAAACGAAACGAAAACTTGCAGACGCCAACGTTTGTCAACAGAACGAGCCAAAGTTAAGGCCATGTCTCTATCGATAACTTTACAAACTACCCAAAGCAAACACCCCCCCCCCCCCCTCTCACTCCACCCACTTTTCCACCTCACTCATACGCTCTACAAACAGCTGAAGGTTATAGACAATGTTCCATTCAATTATGTTGCGCGCCGCCGTCGTCGCCGCTTCTCTTTCGCCTCCTTTCCCCCTTTCTAGTTTTGCCTATTTGTTTGCTTGTTCTGTTTTTTTTTTGCTTTTCAGCGGAAGCGGCTGCCGTTACCTGACTACAACAAGAACAAGAACAACAATATGTTGCCACTGTCTAAATAGTTGCTCAATTGATAGCTTGCCAGATCGTTCAGATATGAGTCAATGGCATAAGACAGCTTCCCAGCTGGAAAGCAAGTGTTGCCATATTGCCTGATAAGCCATTCCAATCAGAATGTCATTCATCGCACCCCCCCCCCCCCCCCTGCCCGTGCAACAACTAGTAATCAGCTAACAATGTTGTAGAAAATGTTCAGTTTATTCAATTGCCAAATTGGCAACTGTTTTATTTGTTTTTCTCTTTTGTCGTAAATGAAGCTCAGAAACAAAATGATTCAACAATTGTTGTTGTACAGCTTTTTGTTATTATTTGCAACAACAACAACAACAAACACACAGACACAGACAGCCATCCAGTTATTTATATACATAATTCTAAAAATTGTCTAAAAAAGAATAGCAAAAAAAAAAAAACAAAATAAAATAAAATAAATATCATGAAAATTTAGTGCAAGGTTGCGGTTTTGACACGCCGCTTCATGATATGCTTTTGGGGGTGGGGGTGGCCGGTGCGCGCGCCAGCAATTTACAATTATAAATAGCCAGCAATATGCTGAAGAACTGCAATTTCCACACCAATACACACACACACTCACACGCACACATAAAGAGAGCGGGAGCGAGAGCGCGAGCGAGAGAGAGCAAGAGATGCAGGCTAATGACAAATTAGAAGAAACATTGGAATATGGCACAAATATAATGAAGAAGGCTGCCACTTGATTTAAAACAATTTGATGATTGAGCTTGACACACACACAGACACATAAACTCACACACACACACACACACGCGAACAGACTGGCAACTCTATAGATTCAGTTGATCTATATATGAATTTCGTAATCGTAAATTACCGCACAACAGAATTTCGTCTCGTCATTATAAAAGACGCAGCAGTTGAAAAATAATGAAAGCAACAAATTGTTTTTGTTGTTTTTGTTGTTGGCATTTCTGTGTTTACATTGGCCAAAATGGCAGGCTGATGACTGTGTGAACAAGCCAAAGGCGCTGTGGCGGGGTTGTGCGGGCAGCTGGGCGGGATGTGGGCAGCCAAGCAGGTGGGCTGGTGGGCGTAGGCTGTTTATTTGTGATGAATCTTGCGCTGGCACTCACTCTCTCCACACACACACACACACACACATGGCTGTCTCTCGCCCTGCATGTGTGTGTATGATTCAACTGCCTATGCGTCATCATCAGTGCATACACACACACACACACACATCAACATTTGCATGGGCATACATACGCGCCTCAGGTGTTAGACAATTGCCAGCTGGCAGGATTGCCATAGACAATGACTAAACTAAAAAATAGAAATTAACCAAACCAGTGTTTGACAATTGCGACAACTTTTGACAGCCACTTATCGATATACATACATACATACACACACACGCACACACACACACACACATTGTGAGTACGTGCGCGCATCAATTATGCTTATCGATTTTGTGCAACAAATTTTTGCCAAAATGAGCATCACTTGCTCTTCACCCCATTCCGTGCTGTCTGCTTTGGTCTCTTTTTTTTTGGTTTTTCATGCTTTTTTTTTTTTTTTTTTTTGGTGTGTGTGCGAATGAGTCCATGCTATGAGGCCGCTCAAATTACATTCGGCTAAAAATGGTATGTGCGAGAGAGCGAGTGCGCATCGCATAGAGAGCTTTTATTTATATTGTTGTTGTTTTTAAACAAAAAAGCTCCCGGCGTTTTTGTTTTGGCGCGTGCGCATTTGTTGTTGTGCTCTGCAAGACGATTGCTCAATCGCCAGATCGGCGCAGGCAACAGGCTGCGGGTGCGACTGCGGCTGCGACTGCTCTGCCCGATAACGGTAAAAGCGCTGAGCGCAGCTTTGACTATTTAATAAAAGTAGAAAAAAAAAAAATCGAAGTAGCAGCAAAACAAACGGGTTGACGGCGGAATGCGACAGGCACTTAGCTAGTCCGCGCTGCACACACACACACACACACACACACACACACATCTATGCATATAGCCAAGTAGCGGTAAGCGCCAACGACTCGTTTGGCAACGCACTAAGACTGCAGCTTACCCGACTTCCCCAGCCCGCTCCTGCTCTCTTCCCTCATGTGTGTGTGCGTGTGTGTGTGTGTATTGCTCTCTTTTCTGCTGCGCTGCTGGCCTAGTTGAACGTGTTATTGTTTGTGTAGGTAATGTAATGCAGAGGTAATCTGTCCCCAGCGCTCGTTTTGATCGTCACACACACACACACACACACACACACACATGCATACAGTCTAACAGCGATTTGCATTAACAGTTGCATTTCTTGTTCTTTAGCTGCCCGGTTTTCCGCTTTGCTCTTCTAAGCTCGTCTTAGAGCAGCAGCCATAACAGCATCCCAACAATCTAAGCGAGTTCCATGTCGACCTGTCCCATTGTCTCATGCACGCACCTAACTGTAAGCAGCTAAAGTGGCCAATAAAGCGGCTCCGGCTCCGGCTTCGGCTCCGGCTCCGTTCCCATTCTTCATTCGATTTTTCTTTTTTCTTTATTGTTCAACTTTATCATTTCCACTTTTCTAATAATTTACCCATCTGGCAGCGCTGTTGTTCCTACAATGTATGCCTAGCGGTCGACCATTGTTATGCATATTCTTATCGGCTGCAAGTGTGTGCGTGTGTGTGCGTGTGAGTGTGTGAGTGCGCCTGCGCTTTCCTTTTCACTGTTGGATCATTGATCGAAATCCATGTGAATGGCCAAACTCAAACATTTGCATGCACACACACACACGCACGCATACAGGCGCGCACGCTCGACTATTAACAGCTGCAATTTTTTGTGGGCGTGTGGGCGCGCCATTGTATGCCGTAATTCCATACTTGTGTGCGCAAGCTTTTTGCCCAGCAACAACAACAACAACAACAACGGCGGGCTGTAAATTTACAAGCACCAAACAGCAGAAACGCAGACGACGGCGGCAGCGACTCCAAAATAATGAAGTGTGTGCAAAAAAAAAAAAAAAAAAACAGAAAAAAAAAGACAAGAAGTAAAAACAACAAAACTGGTTTATATTTTAAACATACAAACAGACAAACATCTCTACATTGTCTTTTCTTGTTTTCTCTTTGTTCTTGCTGTCGTCTGTCCCCATTCGGTGAAAAATAACTGCAACTGTCAGCCGCTGTCGCTGTCGCCGCTGCAGTCGCCGCTGCAGTCGCCAGCTGCAGCAGCACAGCCTTGCCAGACCGGCCCAGCTCATTTGCTGATCTTAAACTTTCCAGCCTTCCAGCTTTCCAACGGCGGCACAGCTTAGGAAAATTTAATGAAATCCAACAACTAGCCGATCCTCCATATTTTAAATGCTCATTAGCTGATTAACAACTTTGTTGATTCACAAATAGATTCCTTGGCTTTAGTCTTGATTGTGTTTGTTGATCGATTAGGCAACATTTTAGCTCAGTTATGACCCACTTCAACGGAGCATAAGGTTTGTTTAAGTTGGGCAACCCATTCGAGCTGCCAGATCTGGTTAAAACCTAATCGATTTTCCTGCAATAAATACAATTTAATTTAGTTTTCTTTTCTGGATTGTATCTTTTACTTTAAAATGTATAAATCGCTCATATGTTCAACAGTTCGAGGATACGCATTATAAACATTTATCAAACCCTTGAATCCAGTTCGTGGTTAGACAAAGATTTCCCGAATTTCGTTTAAACATACAAAAATGGCCTCTAAGGAATATGGTTGGATAAATGCAATTGTTGGGGCCAACGTTTTTTATACTTTGAGGTTAGGTCCACCTGTTTTATTTGAAACCATCAAAAAGTATCGAAATTAAACATTTAAATATAGAAATATTCAATCGAAATGTATGCTAGGTTTTTGCTAGTTCTCTATATTGAGAGCAAACAGTTTCGTACCTTTTCGATTTCCGGCAAAGCCACAACATGTATCGAACTTATCGATATTGAAAATCGATAGTTTCGCATGTTTTAGATTTGAAATGTTTTTCTTGTAATCGCCTTAGCATATATCGAACTTATCGATATTGAAAATCGATAGTTTCGCATGTTTTAGATTTGAAATGTTTTTCTTGTAATCGCCTTAGCATATATCGAACTTATCGATATTGAAAATCGATAAATTAATAATGTCCCATAATCATTTATTTCGCGATTTTCTAGACATTTACCGCGTGGTGTAACAGTCATTTGCGCAAAGCTGGCACCGCCATCGACAACATCGAGGAGGACTTCCGCAATGGCCTCAAGCTGATGCTGCTGCTGGAGGTGATCTCCGGCGAGACACTGCCCAAGCCCGATCGCGGCAAGATGCGTTTCCACAAAATTGCGAACGTGAACAAGGCGCTGGATTTCATCGCGTCGAAGGGTGTGCATCTGGTGTCGATTGGCGCCGAGGAGATCGTCGATGGCAATCTGAAAATGACGCTGGGCATGATCTGGACGATCATTTTGCGCTTCGCCATTCAGGACATCTCCGTCGAGGAGATGACCGCCAAGGAGGGTCTGCTATTGTGGTGCCAGCGCAAGACGGCGCCCTACAAGAATGTCAACGTACAGAACTTCCATCTGTCCTTCAAGGTAATCCAAATCGGCTTCGTTATCTTTTCCAATATATTTATATATATATATATATATTGTAGGACGGTCTGGCCTTCTGCGCGCTCATCCATCGTCATCGACCAGATCTGATTGACTATGCCAAGCTATCCAAAGACAATCCGTTGGAGAATCTGAACACTGCCTTCGATGTTGCTGAGAAATATCTAGATATTCCAAGGATGTTGGATCCAGATGGTATGTTAAATCGTTTCAATTGTCGAAGTACTACAGCTTTACAGTTTATTTATTAGTTAAGTTCTCGATTTAAGTTAAGCATTTAGGGTTTTCAGTACAAATAATGCTCATATTTAAAATTCTTTAAAAATTTTTGCGAAAATACAACAACAGATTTAATCAACACTCCGAAACCGGATGAACGTGCCATCATGACGTACGTCTCCTGCTACTATCACGCCTTCCAGGGAGCCCAACAGGTTGGAAATGTGACGCATGTACCCGAACCCACAAGACAATACACCTACGTCCCGAATAATTACAATGTGACTAAACTTCACATCTCGATACACATAAATATGATATATCTATTCCATTTCTCGTTTCTTTATATATATATACGATTCGTATATATATATATATATATATATATTTATTTATTGCATATATTGCAGTTTGTTTTTTGGAAAAAAAAACCCAAAACGCCAAAACCCAAAAAGCCAACAAGCTGCTTTTGTTATTTTACATGTTGAACGTTGATTTGCAGCTTTGCTCTGGCCACAGCTAAAAAAATCAAGCAAAAAAAACAAAAGCTCATTCACTAACAAACTCCACACTAATACGGAGAGTTGCGCATTGGTATTGGTGAGCTTTCAAGGCTCTTACGGCATTCACAGCTGTTGAGCTAATGCGTGTTTGGCATCTGTGTGAAAGCTCTCTCTCTCTCTCTCTCTCTCGCTCTCTCTCCCTCTCCCTCTCTGTCAATCATTTGCTCGTGCGCTGCATGTTGCATTTAATGCGAATGCGAATTTGACCTTATCGGCTGACTTATCCATATTGTATTATAATAACTTATATTATTTTTATGTTATATTATTATCCATGTTTTTTTTTTTTGTTTTTTCATACTATACAAATATATATATATGTCATATAGCTATATATATTTATGTCTAGTATGTGGAGCAGCGAACTCAGTCCATGCTTCGATCTGATTCTTCGATTATTAAAAACGAAGCGTTGCCTGAGTTCGCGCGCCTCTGCTCGTTCCATATGTGCGCTAATCTCTAGGCATGTCTTAAGTTATGAATGTTAAGCTACTAAAACGCGCTCAATATGCGATCTATTCATAATATAATACTAGAAGTGTACTTGGTTAAGCAGTGAAAACTGTTTGAGTTAGTCAGCATAGGTAGCTAGTTATAAAGTTCATAATCAGTTGTTTAGTTAACACAAGGAAGAAACTAGGAATTCGATTTTCAAGCTTAGACGCAGCAAAACTTTAAGCATAGCTCAAATTTGTATTAAGACGTTTATGCCATGAAATTTGCGATTTCATAAATATGTTAGTGTAAGCCATGAAAAGCTATCAATTAATGGCAAACATTAAATTAAAACAAATAATTTTAATCGATAAAGAATTTGATAAGTATATAGTTATGTTATCGATCGATATATTATTTGATCGATTAAATGAAATTGCTCGAAAATATATGAAATTCGTGAATTGCATGGCATAAACATAGCTCTCAAGAATGTTTAGCAGAGTTTTCACTGCAGAAAAGATAATTACATATGCTCGTATATTGAGTGCTATTTGCTAAGATTTAATATGCCTGCCGAAACGACTAACCGATAAATAATTCATTTGTATGTTTTGTTGCTTTTTCTCTCTCTCTCTCTCTCTCTCTTTCTGTCTGCTCTTCTCGCGATTGCGAATGCGAATGCGCTCATCAACAACGCCATTAACAACTACAACAACAACAACAACAACAACAATTACTCTGCTACCGCTATTCGCTACAACAACAACAATATCGATAACAATATCGATAACGATAACGATAACGATAACAACACGTTCACCAACCACAACCACCGATCATATACAGATCTGCAAAATACTGCATTGCCCGATGAAAGAGCGGTCATGACCTACGTATCATCGTATTATCACTGTTTCAGTGGCGCTCAAAAGGTCTGTTATACACACTCACACACACCCGCACACACACACACACACACGCACATGCACACCTCACATTCAGTCAAGAAGCTGCCATTTTGTAAGCCGAATTCGTGTTTTGCCCCTCGAAACATTGTCAAACCTTTGTCCAGGAACATAAATTAATCAGAGTACATTCAACATTGTTCATGTTCCATTTCATTTCGTTCTATGTGAAGCAAAAGCTTTTCACAAGTGATCGATTAATCGATAAGTCAATGAGCGACGTTGCCAATACATTCCAAGCACACAATATTAAGCGAGAGCCTTTTGAGTAGTTCATTTTATTAGTTTGTCTGGTTTCAGGCCTGATCAATTCGTTCTATTCCACTTCGTTCCGTCGAATCGCCACACTTCTGTCCAGATCACAGCTGATCATGTTCTATTCCATGCCATTCCGTTCCATTTACACAGTCAAGCACACACACACACACACACCCACACGCACACACACCTCTCCTACATTGGCGAAGCGAAATGGATTTGTGGCCATCGAAATACACGCGATATTTACATCCCATTCCTTGAGAGAGCTTGGAATGCCTGCTTGCGCCTGCTTTGAATGGGCTTTTGAACTAACTCGAATTGTCGTTCCAATTGGATTTTGCTTAATTAGTTTGTGCAGTTGCAGTTACGTGTCTTGCTGTTCGTTCGTCTTGTTTTGCTTTCAAAATTCTGAGTTGGTTCTCTGATCTACACTCAGAGTAATTGGCTGGCGAATCAAATTTTAAACTAACGATATTCTTTCAAACTTCACAATCGACAGGCGGAAACGGCGGCAAATCGTATTTGCAAGGTACTCAAGGTTAACCAGGAGAATGAGCGCCTCATGGAGGAGTACGAGCGTCTGGCCAGCGATGTAAGTATACAAAAGTTAACCAAATAAAGCAAACATTCGCATGCAGTAACATGGTAATCGCTAACGATTATTCGCTTCAGCGATTATTCGTTTGGAGTACTCGCAATTTCTAACGATTACTCGTTACGGATTACTCGTTATAGCGAACGCAATTTGTTAACGATTACTCGTTACGGATTACTCGTCATAACGAGCCCGTCGTTCATCGATTACTCGTTGTTACGAATACATCTGCCTACTATTGGTCGTTGCTTTAATGATTCATTTGATTCGTTTAGCTGCTGGAATGGATTCGCCGCACGATGCCATGGCTGAACTCACGCCAGGCGGACAACTCGCTGGCCGGAGTACAGAAGAAGCTCGAGGAATACCGCACGTACCGTCGCAAGCACAAGCCGCCACGTGTTGAGCAGAAAGCAAAACTCGAAACTAACTTTAACACGCTGCAGACGAAGCTGCGTCTGTCGAACCGTCCAGCCTACTTGCCCACCGAGGGCAAGACCGTGTCTGACATCTCAAATGCCTGGAAGGGCCTGGAGCTCGCCGAGAAGGCGTTCGAGGAATGGCTGCTGGCTGAGACCATGCGCCTGGAGCGTCTCGAACATTTGGCCCAGAAGTTCAAGCATAAGGTGAGCGATCCAATCATCGATTGTGTCCTAACCTAACATCGCTTTCCGCAGGCCGATGCTCACGAGGACTGGACGCGCGGCAAGGAGGAGATGCTGCAGTCCCAGGACTTCCGTCAATGCAAGCTCAACGAGCTGAAGGCCCTCAAGAAGAAGCACGAAGCCTTCGAGTCTGACCTGGCCGCCCATCAGGATCGCGTCGAACAAATTGCCGCCATTGCCCAGGAGCTGAAGTAAGTTGTGCCAGCTGCCCGACTTATCAACACTTCCTCTGAATCTCTATCAATCTTATATTCAATTATTAACTCAATGCTAACCGCTGGGCAACAACGCAAAGTGTGAGGTTAGATTGTATGATCATCTGATGCCTAAGAGCTCAGAGTCCATTCATAAACACACATCTCTCGCATCTACCAAACACTCTTGATCATTAGCAATATTTCAATCTGGCCAAGTAGAACACCGATCACATGATATCTAGATATCTCTGATCAATCAATTTTTAGAAACTAAATTGTGGCGAGGATCGTTGGCAACTAACTTTAGCTTGAGTATAAGTGAGAATTCAATTGAAGCAAGGATCAGTAGATATCTGAGGCGCTCACAGATAAGTGTCTGCTCTGGCGATCACTAAAACCAGGTTCTATACATCAACTGATCTTCAAAGATCGTTCAATCGGTGATCGTTCAGTGAAGATCGTAAAAGTTTATTGCCCATTTTATAGTTCACACACAATCATTTTCACTCGTGATCAACGAGAGAATCACTATCGGTGATCATCAGCGGGATCAGTTAGTTTTATGATACCTAATTAACAGACTGACTGCACTGAATAGGATGAGGTTTTATTTACACAATTTCTGCTGAGATCAGGCAGAGGATCAGCAAAGAAAATTCAAGTATAAGAGGTCTAGTTTGATCAGAAGTACGATCGCTAGTAAGTTTCCCAGTTCTTTCACTTCATCTGGCACGATCATCCAAGATCAGGGATTCAGATTGTGGCGAGAATCGGTTGGAATCGAAACTAAGTTTCTTACCTTGTTTTGCAGCACTCTGGAGTACCACGATTGTGTGTCGGTGAATGCGCGCTGCCAGCGCATCTGCGATCAGTGGGATCGCTTGGGCGCACTGACCCAGCGTCGTCGGACTGCGCTGGATGAGGCGGAGCGCATACTGGAGAAGATCGACATCTTGCATTTGGAGTTTGCGAAGCGTGCGGCGCCGTTTAACAACTGGCTGGATGGCACACGCGAGGATCTTGTGGATATGTTCATAGTGCATACCATGGAGGAGATACAGGGCCTGATCCAGGCGCACGATCAGTTCAAGGCGACGCTCGGCGAAGCCGACAAGGAGTTCAATCTGATTGTGAATCTGGTGCGCGAGGTCGAGTCGATTGTTAAACAACACCAGATACCCGGTGGCCTGGAGAATCCCTACACCACACTGACCGCCAACGATATGACACGCAAATGGACCGATGTCCGCCAGCTGGTGCCGCAGCGCGACCAGACGCTGGCCAACGAGCTGCGCAAGCAGCAGAACAACGAGATGCTGCGCCGCCAGTTCGCTGAAAAGGCCAATGTGGTCGGTCCCTGGATCGAGAGGCAGATGGATGCCGTGACAGCGATAGGCATGGGTCTGCAGGGCTCGCTGGAGGATCAGCTGCATCGCCTCAAGGAATACGAGCAGGCGGTCTATGCATACAAGCCGAACATTGAGGAGCTCGAGAAGATCCATCAGGCCGTACAGGAGTCGATGATCTTTGAGAATCGCTACACGAACTATACGATGGAAACGCTGCGTGTCGGCTGGGAGCAGCTGCTCACATCGATAAATCGCAACATTAACGAGGTGGAGAACCAGATACTGACACGCGACTCCAAGGGCATTAGCCAGGAGCAGCTGAACGAGTTCCGTTCCAGCTTCAATCATTTTGACAAGAATCGCACCGGCCGCCTCACGCCCGAGGAGTTCAAATCGTGCCTCGTCTCGCTGGGCTATTCGATTGGCAAGGATCGCCAGGGTGACATGGACTTCCAGCGCATACTGGCCGTTGTCGATCCTAACAGCACCGGCTATGTTCACTTTGATGCTTTCCTCGACTTCATGACCCGCGAGAGCACCGACACCGACACCGCCGAACAAGTCATTGATTCATTCAGAATCCTGGCCGCCGACAAGGTTCGTGTTTGCGCCCGAGCACAGCTTTGGTCAATTTCAATCCCATCTAAATATATTTATATATATATTCTCTTACAGCCATACATATTGCCCGATGAGCTGCGCCGCGAATTGCCACCAGACCAGGCCGAATACTGCATTCAGCGCATGCCGCCATATAAGGGACCCAATGGTGTGCCCGGCGCCCTGGACTACATGTCCTTCAGCACAGCTCTCTATGGCGAGACCGATTTGTAAACCCCACGATCATCCACTCTACACACACACACCAACACACACACACACACACACACACTCAACTCCCACACACACTCAACTCTCACACACACACACACACTCGGCCCTATGTGCAGCGGGCGACACTTAGCCCCAAACAAAAAGAAAAAATATCATATAATAATTGATAAACTTTAAATAATAATAATTTTAATAAACATAGATTTATTATTATGCTACACTCGTAAAGCTTAAAAAATTCAAGAGAAACGCAATTATAATCTCTTTGCAAATTATATATTGTACTTACTATGTATGTATATATATATATATATATATATATATATATATATATATGTGTGTGTGTTTGCATATATGTGTATATATATAGATATATATATATGTCTCGATGTATATCATACATTACATTAAATACATCTTATTCAAGCCGATTGTCAAACAGAGAATGGAAAACAAAATGCATATCGAATATCCAAAAGAAAACAACATACAACAACATCTAAAAACATTATTTTTTGAAATTTATGTTAATAAAACAAACAAAAAAAAAAAAAAACAAAACAAAACAAAATTAATAATAACAAATTCGAAACAACACACAAAATTGATAGAAAAGTAGCGCACGACGAATTTTATAGAGGCACAATCAAACAGAGAGAGATAGATAGATAGTGCGTTGCAGTAAGCGAGAGCGAGAGAGAGAGAGAGAGAGAGAGAGAGAGATATACACTAACAGCACACAAACAAATGAAACACAAAGAGAGAGGCAGAGGGAGGGCGAGAGCGAGAGCGTGAGCGTGAGAGGACTTAACTTTCAACTTGGAGTAAAGGCAGCGAGATCTGGCATTAAAAACAAAAAACCAACAACAAAAACAAAAGCAAAAACAAATGAAACCAGCCAATAAATTAAACTATTTATATATACTTGCATACATATATATAAATATATAGCTATTTATTCATGCAAAACAACTCGTATCTATATTTTGTTTTTTTTTTTTTTAGTAATTCACTTTTCAGCACTCAAAACAAAGCATTACGAATGTAAAACAATGGAAAATCCTAACTATGATTTACCAACACATGCACACACTCACATTTACACACAGTCTCACACACACACACACAATCACACACATCCATCCATGCAGATACGAGAATGTGAAATAAAACGTTTTTTTGGTGATATTGTGTTTTAATATACAACGCCAATTTCACTTGGGAAAACTATATTTGAAACATTTTCCGCCACGAAGTTAACACGGAAGAGTCAAAGTTTTGTGGGTCGGGGGTCAGGGTCGGCTCGAAAATTAAAACTTTTTCGATGATTTTGTTTCAATATCTCGATATTAAAGACAAAAAAACCATTAGTTCGTAAAGTCAACCTTTTTGATGATATTTTGGAATATTTCCGTCAAATAATGTCCGATTTAGGAATTTTATACCATTTTTGACTCGTAAGGATCAGTTCAATCGATTGGCATCAAAAAAAAGGATATCCAAATTTTTGACCCAAATCGACAAAATGGAGATCGGTGCAAAAATCGAAACTTTTTCGATGATTTTTTTTTTTGTAATATCTCGGGTAATAGCTCCGCGCGGAGATATGTCGTTCCAAAACGACATAACTCCCCGCGGAGATATGACGTTCCAAAACGACATAACTCCCCGCGGAGATATGACGTTCCAAAACGAGTAACTCCCCGCGGAGATATTACGTTCCAAAACGACATAGCTCCCCGCGGATATATGACCTTCCAAATCACCACGTTTTTTTTTGTAATATCTCGGGTAATAGCTCCGCGCGGAGATATGACGTTCCAAAACAACATAACTCCCCGCGGAGATATGACGTTCCAAAACGACATAACTCCCCGCGGAGATATGACGTTCCAAGACGACATAACTCCCCGCGGAGATATGACCTTCCAAATCACCACGTTTTTTTTGTAATATCTCGGGTAATAGCTCCGCGCGGAGATATGACGTTCCAAAACGACATAACTCCCCGCGGAGATATGACGTTCCAAAACGACATAACTCCCCGCGGAGATATGACGTTCCAAAACGACATAACTCCCCGCGGAGATATGACGTTCCAAAACGACATAACTCCCGCGGAAATATGACGTTCCAAAACGACATAACTCCGCGCGGAGATATGACGTTCCAAAACGACATAACTCCGCGCGGAGATATGACGTTCCAAAACGACATAACTCCGCGCGGAGATATGACGTTCCAAAACGACATAACTCCGCGCGGACAAAAACGACATAACTCCCCGCGGAGATATGACGTTCCAAAACGACTAACTCCCCGCGGAGATATGACGTTCCAAAACGACATAACTCCCCGCGGAGATATGACGTTCCAAAACGACATAACTCCCCGTGGAGATATGACGTTCCAAAACGACATAACTCCGCGCGGAGATATGACGTTCCAAAACGACTAACTCCCCGCGGAGATATGACGTTCCAAAACGACATAACTCCCCGCGGAAATATGACGTTCCAAAACGACATAACTCCCCGCGGAGATATGACGTTTCAAAACGACATAACTCCCCGCGGAGATATGACGTTCCAAAACGACATAACTCCGCGCGCAGATATGACGTTCCAAAACGACTAACTCCCCGCGGAGATATGACGTTCCAAAACGACATAACTCCGCGCGGAGATATGACGTTCCAAAACGACTAACTCCCCGCGGAGATATGACGTTCCAAAACGACTAACTCCCCGCGGAGATATGACGTTCCAAAACGACATAACTCCCCGCGGAGATATGACGTTCCAAAACGACATAACTCCGCGCGGAGATATGACGTTCCAAAACGACATAACTCCCCGCGGAGATATGACGTTCCAAAACGACATAACTCCCCGCGGAGATATGACGTTCCAAAACGACATAACTCCCCGCGGAGTTATGACGTTCCAAATCACCACGTTTTTTTTTGTAATATCTCGGGTAATAGCTCCGCGCGGAGATATGACGTTCCAAAACAACATAACTCCCCGCGGAGATATGACATTCCAAAACGACATAACTCCCCGCGGAGATATGACCTTCCAAATCACCACGTTTTTTTTTGTAATATCTCGGGTAATACCTCCGCGCGGAGATATGACGTTCCAAAACGACTAACTCCCCGCGGAGATATGACGTTCCAAAACGACATAACTCCCCGCGGAGATATGACGTTCCAAAACGACATAGCTCCCCGCGGAGATGTGACGTTCTAAAACAACATAACTCCCCGCGGAGATATGACGTTCCAAAACGACATAACTCCCCGCGGAGATATGACGTTCCAAAACGACATAACTCCCCGCGGAGATATGACGTTCCAAAACGACATAACTCCCCGCGGAGATATGACGTTCCAAAACGACTAACTCCCCGCGGTGATATGACGTTCCAAAACGACATAACTGCCCGCGGAGATATGACGTTCCAAAACGACATAACTCCGCGCGGAGATATGACCTTCCAAATCACCACATTTTTTTTGTAATATCTCGGGCAATAGCTCCGCGCGGAGATATGACGTTCCAAAACGACATAACTCCCCGCGGAGATATGACGTTCCAAAACGACATAGCTCCCCGCGGAGATATGACATTCCAAAACGACATAACTCCCCGCGGAGATATGACGTTCCAAAACGACATAACTCCGCGCGGAGATATGACGTTCCAAAACGACATAACTCCGCGCGGACAAAAACGACATAACTCCCCGCGGAGATATGACGTTCCAAAACGACATAACTCCCCGCGGAGATATGACGTTCCAAAACGACATAACTCCCCGCGGAGATATGACGTTCCAAAACAACATAACTCCCCGCGGAGATATGACGTTCCAAAACGACATAACTCCGCGCGGACAAAAACGACATAACTCCCCGCGGAGATATGACGTTCCAAAACGACATAACTCCCCGCGGAGATATGACGTTCCAAAACGACATAACTCCCCGCGGAGATATGACGTTCCAAAACGACATAACTCCCCGCGGAGATATGACGTTCCAAAACGACATAACTCCCCGCGGAGATATGACGTTCCAAAACAACATAACTCCCCGCGGAGATATGACGTTCCAAAACGACTAACTCCCCGCGGAGATATGACGTTCCAAAACGACATAACTCCCCGCGGAGATATGACCTTCCAAATCACCACGTTTTTTTTTGTAATATCTCGGGTAATAGCTCCGCGCGGAGATATGACGTTCCAAAACGACATAGCTCCCCGCGGAGATATGACGTTCCAAAACGACATAACTCCCCGCGGAGATATGACCTTCCAAATCACCACTTTTTTTTTTTTGAGAAAATCGAAACGTTTTCGATCATTTTTTTTTTAATATCTCGGGTAAATAATGTCTGATTTTAAAATGTTATACCTTTTAGAATGCGTACGGATCGCTACCATCAATTGGCATTCAAAGAAATTATTCATCGATAGGTTCAAAAATGTTAAAGACAAATAAAACATTAGTTCGTAAAGTCAACCTTTTTTGTTGATATTTTGGAATATTTCCGTCAAATAATGTCCGATTCAGGAATTTTATACCATTTTTGACTCGTAAGGATCAATTCTATCGATTGGCATCAAAAAAAGGAAATCCAAAATTTTGACCCAAATCGACAAAATGGAGATCGGTGCGAAAATCAAAACTTTTTCGATGATTTTTTTTTTGTAATATTTGGGGTAATAGGTCCGCGCGGAGATATGACGTTCCAAAACGACATAACTCCGCGCGGAGATATGACGTTCCAAAACGACATAACTCCGCGCGGAGATATGACGTTCCAAAACGACATAACTCCGCGCGGAGATATGACGTTCCAAAACGACATAACTCCGCGCGGAGATATGACGTTCCAAAACGACATAACTCCGCGCGGAGATATGACGTTCCAAAACGACATAGCTCCCGCGGAGATATGACGTTCCAAAACGACTAACTCCCCGCGGAGATATGACGTTCCAAAACGACATAACTCCGCGCGGAGATATGACGTTCCAAAACGACATAACTCCGCGCGGAGATATGACGTTCCAAAACGACATAACTCCGCGCGGAGATATGACGTTCCAAAACGACATAACTCCGCGCGGAGATATGACGTTCCAAAACGACATAACTCCGCGCGGAGATATGACGTTCCAAAACGACATAGCTCCCGCGGAGATATGACGTTCCAAAACGACTAACTCCCCGCGGAGATATGACGTTCCAAAACGACATAACTCCGCGCGGAGATATGACGTTCCAAAACGACATAACTCCGCGCGGAGATATGACGTTCCAAAACGACATAGCTCCCGCGGAGATATGACGTTCCAAAACGACTAACTCCCCGCGGAGATATGACGTTCCAAAACGACATAACTCCGCGCGGAGATATGACGTTCCAAAACGACATAACTCCGCGCGGAGATATGACGTTCCAAAACGACATAACTCCGCGCGGAGATATGACGTTCCAAAACGACATAACTCCGCGCGGAGATATGACGTTCCAAAACGACATAACTCCGCGCGGAGATATGACGTTCCAAAACGACATAACTCCGCGCGGAGATATGACGTTCCAAAACGACATAGCTCCCGCGGAGATATGACGTTCCAAAACGACATGACTGATTTGATTTTTGATTGATTGTTGACTGATACCATGTTGGCCATGTATGAAAAATCAAGATTTTAACCAAAATCTTAGCTCAAGGATGAAAAATCGTGACCGAGACCAATTTTCTTTGCAGTCCTGGTCCTTAAATTACCTTTCACATTTTCATCTGCTTAAGCTCTATACTGTTTCCAATAAGAATGCATTTTGTTCATCTTTATTTATATAGATAGTTTATATTACTTTCTGAGAAACATTTGCAGCTATACGTAATTGTCCAATATTGTGGATACAGTAGAACGTACAATGAAAAGTCAACGAAAATAGTTGAAAAACTTTATAGCTTATTTAGATGATAAAATATAGTTGCTCTATATCGAATTGGCATTAAATTAGGCAACGATACATAAATACAAAATATGACATGAGGTGGACGATTGTGTCACATCCAACAACTTAGAGAACTATGCAGAGGTTTTGATCGTGTGGAATAATTTGAATGCCACGTAACGGAACTGATCGGAACTTAATGCTCGAGCTTATATGTAAATAATTGTTGATGGCTGCGTGTGTGTGTGTGTGTGTGTGAGTTGGTCTGTGAGTGTGTGTGTGTGGGTGTTTGTGTAAGTTGGTGTGTGAGTGTGTGTCAGTGTGTGTGTTCGGGTGCATTCGGTATACGGCCTTACAACTATACGGGAGGGTACTAAAGGATTTCCGCTAGATTCCCGCCTGTTCTCCAGTTTGGAATACGAAGAGACATACATATCATATATTATATCAGCTACGACCTAAAGGTAATACCCTATTTAATGAAGTTAAACGGTATTTTATCTCAGGATCCTTGGGATTGGTATGGTGTGCGTCTTGTGTTGTTGTGTCTGTGTTTTATCTCATACGCGTTTTATGCTATTTATGTGAAGTAGTTGTAAGTATTCATTTTAGTCGCCCAGAATAGACGTGCACCGTTTGGGCCATTGGTCTATTGGTCCATTACCTCCTGGCTGGTGTCGTCCACCTCCATGGCGGCAGGCTCATCCTTGGTAGCTTCATCGGTGGCCATATCGCCAGTGGCAACGCCGCTTTCGGCCATAACGACCTCCTCCACGCCTGCAATGGGCGATACCTGTGCGTCCTCCTCCTCGGCCGGTGTGTCCTCCATGGGCTGATCATTCAGCGTTAATGCGGGCGTGGCGCTGACAGCAAAACTCTCCTCTTCGGCTGCCGGCGTGGCAGTTGCATCTGCCGCAGTCGGCGACTGTGGCGTAGCCAACTCATCGGTCTCAATCGGCGATGCAGCTTCAGCTGCATCAGCGGTTTTAGCTAGAGCAGCAGATGCTGTTGCAGTCTTTGTCAGCTCCTCCTTGTCACCCACAGCTGACGCCGTGGCAGCTGTTGCAGCCGGCTCAGCTGCTGCTGCTGTTGCTGGTGTTGCCTCAGATTCAGTCTTTTCAGTGTTGCTGCCTTCGGCAGCTGCCTTAGGCTCCAGCTGGATGTCAGTCTTGGCCTCAGCATCAGACGCATTGGCCTCGATTGCCTCATCCTTGTCAGGTGTAGTAGCTTTGTCTACAACAGCTGCCGAGTCGCTTGCTTTTTCGGGCGAAGTGGTTTTCGCTGGTTTCTTCGCATTTTCAGCTGCTTTTGGCTTGGGCTTCTCACTCGTAGGCTCTTTCTTTTCCTTGGCAGCATCGACATCGGCTTCTTCGATCTTCTTCTCTGTTTCTGTCTCTTTCGCAGGCTTGTCTACCTTTTCTCCACTCTCCAACTCCTGTTTTTCGACAATTTTCGTTGCTTGTTCTTGCTCATCGGCATTGGTTAGCGGCTCTTTTTCCTGACATTCAGCAACTATATCTTTTACGGCATCTGCAGCGTCGCTGTCCGCCTCGTCGGGCTCTGCCACTGTTGGAATATCGGCGGCGGTCTCTGGTGTCTCTTTCAGCTCTTTGTCACTATTGAATGACTTTTTGGCCTTTGGGTCTGGAACCACCTCCTCTTCCTCTTCATCGGGCTCCTCGATTTCGGGCACCTCACGAACAGCATCAGTCTTTTCGGCCTTTTCATCTGCAGCATTAACAGCATCAGCAGTTTCTGCGTTGGGTTGATCCGCTTTGGACTTGCTCTTGATGACATCCTCATCCGCATCCTCTGCATTAGCCTCCTCGGGCTGATCACTCTCATCGAAATCGAGCTTGGCCTTCTTGGCCTTCGGCTGAACAGCAACGTCGTCGGTGCGTGGGCAGCTGGCCTTAAGGGCACCGCTGGTATTGTCCTCGGTGCTGCCGTTGCGCTCGTCCCCGTTGTTGAACATGTTCTCGTTCTCCATTTCAATGTCAATGTTAACCTCCAGCGAAAGATCCCCATTGCCCACTGAGTCCAGAGAATCACCGTTCTCACTCTCGGTTCGCTTACGCCCCGGATCGATGGTGCTAACCACTAAATGTTAATTGCAAGATTAACCTGAGTTAGTCCGGAATAACGCTGTGACCGAAGGACATCTACTTACCCAGTATATTCTTCTCGAGGGCTCGCATAAACTTATCAATACGCGAGTATTGCTTGCGAGGATCAATTAGAAGCTCGCAGAGGCGCTGCACGGTAAAAGGCGCCGCATTAAATAGATCGAGACGCTCTAGCAGCGAGGACTTCATCGTCTCATAATTGAAGGGATCTACATTCGGGTAGTTGGGTATCTCTACGGGGAAAAGACAACGTTCAATTTAAATTGGGGGTAAGGGCGAGTACCTACTTACCCTCCAGACGTTGAGTATCCTCGTTAAAATGCTTGATCACGTTGAGCAGCTTCTCGCGGAAGAGATACTTAAGGCTGGACCACTTAAAGATGGTATCGCCTGTTTTGGCCACATACTGCAAATACTCCTCCAGCTCCTGGGGTATCTCCTTCTGTTTAAGCTGTGTGAAACGCTCCAGAATTTGTAGAATCTCCTCGCTATTCTCCATGGTAACCATTGATCCTCGTTCGTAGCTTTAGCGTGAATGAAACTCTGCAAATTCAGATGCTAAGAAAACAAGGAGAAAAATAATACCAAAAAATTCTCTTTGACTGACAAAATTTTTTCGCTGCGTGGTAGACACACAAAACCGAAAGGAAAACTACAACTATTGGCGACTTCGCTATTAATGTGTGTGTGTGAGTGTGTGAGTAGTTTGTATGCTTGTCTGTGTGTATGGGAAGTATGCGCCGAATCAGCGACACTGGCGGACGCCCGCTCCCTCGGCTGCCAGTTACGAGCTGCAGCCATGATGCATTATGAAAAGTTGCTAATCCTATTCATAATAAATCCCTATGCACATATAATATAATATATAATAAGTACATATCATATTCCTAACAGAGTTAAATGTTTGGTATACAAATCGTGTTTATCATGTGGCAACCGTGGCTATAAGTTCGGATATTCAGCTCGTCCGTAGCTGAGAAGCTGCGAATCTGCATTGCCGGTTGGCCCAGGCAGGCGCTGGCAGAGAGGGACTGCTGCACACTCACACACAAGCTCGGACGCTTGGCAACGACGAGTTAAAACTACAAATTGAGAGCAATTCAAATGAGCGCCGAACGGTGTCTGCAAGTTCATCTGGTGAATGGTGGAGGATTCCTTGCAGATTTGCACAGAAAAACTAGTTATTTCGCCAGCCAATACACACGTACATATATGCATGCGTACATGCATGTGTATGTGTTCCGACTACGGCTCTCGTGCAAGCAGCAACTTAACCGTTGCAGCTGCAAAAGGCTTACATAGCCAGCTATACATATATATATATATATATATATATACAGACAGACTGCCTTACAAAACGTAGTAAAATGTTGGCTTTGTGCGGTTTTCGGTACTCCGTTTGTTATATGTCGTACGTCAATACATTAGAAACCTTAAGATAATAATAAATCGTCGACAACGCACTTATAGTTTTACCTGCAATTGCTGCTGCGGCTACTCGAGCACTATCACAAGTATGCTTTGCTCTGGATAGCAGTTAAACGTATTTATTTATTTTGCACCGCCTAAAACCGTGTAAGCCGCAGCTGCACTATCGATAGTGCACACACAAAACCAACGACCAGTCGATTAGCTTAACATTCGATTAATCGATTACGCTGTTTCGTCTCGAAACTGTTGTGCACTGTTGCAAATGACATGCGTCAAATTAGCGGCGGTAACTCAGAGTCGATTATTGGTACTTGGTATCGGAGACGGAATCACTCAATTTGAAATGCATTTATTAATGTTTTTAAGCGCCTTTTTTGCTTATTACCTGTTTATAAATAGTTAAATGCACTGCTGCTTTATTAAGCAGCATCATATTTTACCAAAGATAATGTTTAACTGTAAAGTGCCATTTATTTTAAAGTCTGCATTACTTATGTACAAACAGTTTGAATTAAGTTTCGCTACTCTTCGCATCGCTTCGATATTTTCGATAACAGCCGTTCAATTTGTATGCGATTTTTGATTACATTGTGTTGTTTTATGTTTTTGTTGATGCGCACGTAGCGTATACATCGGCATTGAGTCGGCATTTTATTGATTACATATGGGAAATTGGCGCTTGGCACGCAACGCCGGCCCCCAACCCAAGGACAAAACCGACCCCCATATGGACAGGCGACATTAACTTGCTTTTTTTGTATGTTACTTTGTTTTGTTTTGTGTGTTTGACAATTCAAGACCAAAACGACGGTTGAGCCGTTCAAATTGTGTTTGTTTTCAGCTGTCCCGGCCATTCACTCAGCGCCGTGCCTGTGTAGAAGCCGCAGCTTTCGTGTGTGTGACTAACCAAACTATAACATTAGCATAATCAATTCATAAATTATATTCAAATACCAGCAGTAATTATTATTAGTACTAGCAATATGTCGACTGCAGTTGATGGCGGGGAAGCCGCCGCCGCCGCCGCCGCCCGATGCGAAACCGATCGCATTTCCGCCCTTGAGCTGCAATCGAATAAAAAGATGCTATACTTCAGCGATGGCGTCATGGAGGAGCTCTCGTCCAGCGATAGCGATATTGAGCCAGACGTGCCCGATAAGGCGTACGATGTCCAATTGCAGGTAAGCCATGCAATAAATAATTGACTACAAATTGTTAATCTGTGTATGCATTTCAAATTTGTGACTCATTTGGCAGCGCGAATTGCCCCTGGGACCGCGCCTACGTTACAAGGCCACCAAGGTGGGCAACAATATATTGGCCGGCATCGATTACGTTGGCGGCGGCCTGGCCTCATTCCTGGGCATAACAAACTCGAAATATGCCAGCGAACTAAAATACCATCAGCGTGCCAAAGAGCAAGCCGATGCCGAGGCCGCTGCCGACGAGGACCTTGACAATTGGCAAACGCAGGCGAACAACAACAATTCCAGCGATACCATTGTGGTCTGCGCGCCCGCTCGTCGTGACGAGGAGGCGTTGCCACCCAGTCGAATATAATAATTAATTGGGCAATGAACTCAACTGTAAGAATACAATAGAAAATGCCATAAATGCTCATCAGGTAAAATTGTAAACATTTTATAGACTACGTACATAAAAATATGTATTAAAAATCAAATCATTTTCGACACTTTATTCGCTATAAATAAGTTACAAAATACAAATTACATATCTATAAACAATTTGTAAGACATTGTTTTATTAGACAAAAAAAAAAAGGGGGACAGCACAATCAAATTTGGCCAAATATATCTTAGAAAAATATACATATATTAGATATTAAGTGTATAGTCATTTTGTATATAGAGCTCTCTTAACAAATATATTTGCATAGGCCACACATACATATATATAATTATAAATATGTTAAGTACTTGGAAGTTTCAGTTTTTTTTTTCTTCTTAGTATTTTCTTAAGCTAATGGCACATTGAATACAATTACAATTTATAGTTCGAATTCCGTTCTAAGTTAAGTACACTTTCGGTTCGCAAAATGCGTTATTCAATCGAATTGCATGGGGTTTTTGTTGAATTGTTCAAATCTTTCAAATAAAAAAAATGAATCACAGTATCACAGTATTTCTTGCTGCGTAAACAAACAAAAATGAGCAAAAAACAATTCAAATATATATGTATATATAATATATAAGAAGCCAGATAAAAAAATATATGTGGGGCAAGCATTTAATCAATTGTACTTTGGTTACGCCTACAGCAGCGCTAAATAATAATAATAATAATAATAATATAGTAAAATAACTGTTTATTACACATGCATTGGAGTGCCATGAAATAGTTTTGATATAGAAAAATAAATGCCCGATACATATGTATATTTTGTTGTGCTTATTTTCACCAAGGTTGCCAGCTGGGTTTTTGCGGTTTTTTGCTCAAAATACAATTTTTTTTTTATACATAGTTTATCCAAATATTATTGCACTTTTTAATCATCATTTTAGTTTGTAGAATTGCACTCATGATAACCAAAACATTGAATAACAAAAAGTGAAATTGTTTCGTGAAAAATGTGTAAAAGCAAGGCCCGAACCGAAACATGGGTTCATGGATGTGAAAAACAAGGTTGCACGAGCCTAACCTTGAACGCAAAGCGTTGATTCAAACCGCGAACCTTGTTTTTCATTTCCATGAAAACGGGTTTTACGTATGCAGCCATATTAAGTTCTATGTGTGACTTTTAGTGTTTTTTTTGTTTTTACTTATTTCATGGCACCCCACACGAAACAACGGAACACAACATAAAAGTTAAAATAGTAAGTAAACACACACACACACACACGCACGCACACATAGATTATTTTAAACTAATACAGTTACAGAAATACGTTTAAGTGGGATTCCCAAAAGTCAGCGCCTGTAAATACTATGTAGCGCGCTTTAGTTAAAAAAATAAAAATAAAAACAAACAGAATAAACTCATCATATTAATACTCATGTATGTACAGGGTACATACAGCGATGATAGGGGTTTTGTGTGTTTTGGATCGTTGCTAAAAAAAAAATGGTAGCAATTAAAGGAGCTTTGCTAAGCTGAGGCGAAATTTATGCACATGGATAGGGTTTGGCCGGGTTTTGCATGCGTTTTATTGCAGCCCTGCGGCTCGGGATATCTGGCATAGAACGACGGACATAGCACCCAGACCTAACCTAAATATGAATAGCATCTGCATAGATCCTTCCAATTTTGAGAAGGGGTACTTTAATATCTAAAATTGCAGGCTTCGTTTTCTCATAGTTACCTAATACCTTAGGCGTACCTCTTTAAAAAAAAAAAAAAGAAGGAATTATGATTTGAAAATTAAATTATGAACCCCGATGTGATGCTGCTGAATAGTGCATAATTCAATTGCAATTTTCTAAACGCATTAAAAGCTAAACTAGGATAGGATCTATATGCTGACCTTGGCAGGAACGTTCTGGTAAACAGCCGCAGCTGTTGGCAATTCATTTCGTGCGGCATCAGACTTGAAGAACTCGTTTCCGTAGAAACCATTTTAACTGGAGTTGAAGAACAAAAGCAAAATCCATATTAAAGATAGACCAAGACCATATGGAACAGTTGCAGTTACTCACCCTCACAGCAGCGTCTCGTTGCCATAGCGCTGCAACTGCAGCGGATAGTGGGAATAGTTGGCATGATGGCCATGATGATGATGCTTCTGTGGCGGCGCATAGTAGAGGCGATGTGTGGAGTGCGCCGTCGGCGTTTGCTGTACGCTGCGGCCCAGCGAATAATTGGACATTTGGTTAAGCGAAATGGAGCCGGCGCCCGTTTGTGTCTTCTGCTTGTAGGGGCTGGTGATGAGCGGCGGTGCGCTGACCAAAGACTGATGCGAGGGTCGCACCGAATGATAGGAGACAACAGTGCTGCTGCATGCAATATGCGAGCCACGCGAGCTGCTCTGCCCGTCAAGCGCTGACTGATGATGGTGCTGCTGGGCGTGCGACTGTTGCAGCTGCAGCTGCAGCTGCTGCTGTTGATGCGGATGTGGATGGTGTGCGCGTTCCACGCCTGTGGCCTGCTTGAGCGGACGCATGGACAGCTGACGTTTGTACATACTGGATATGCTGGGACCCAGCACCCAGGCGAAACAGCAAATGCCCAGCATAAGCTCCATGAAAGCGCGCGTTAAGTACGGCCAAAGCGGTGTGCTCGTCTCCCGTTGACTTAGCCAGACATCAATGTTGGCAAACTCATAGATGACCGCAAGCAGCAGCAGGGCACAGGCGGCGCCATAGATGAACAAAAAGATGCCAATGCCAGAGCTGTTGTGCACACCCATCTGCAGTTGCTGTTGCAAGCTTAACGCGTTGCTGTTGCGCAAGATCTCCTTGTTGCGACAGTGCACCAAATAGCCAGAGATTAGATTCATCGAGCCAAATATCCAATAGCAAAAGACGGGCGTGGCGACCAGCACCTGCAGCGCTTTATCCGATTGATTGCCCACAAAGCAAGCGCCTGCAAAAGTGTAGCAATTAGTTGAAATTCCATGGAAATGCATAAAACACGCAACATACCCAACAGCTCATCCGCATCCACGAGCCGCATTACAATTACCGCAGCCGTTTGGAACGCCGGCAGTCCCCAGGCCACAAAACAAACAAAATTATTGCGCGCCAAATCCTGCTGGGCGGTGCTGCCGCCATGACGTTTGCCGGGCAGCGCTACGTGACCTTTGGTGTCGGGACTATTGCGGCGTATATCGCGATGCCAGCCCAGGCATAAAATGGCCCACCTGAAACACACACAGACACACACAACGATATCATAGCAACAATAACATTGACAACACAGGCAACTATTAACGGGTCAATGACTTTTTCGTTTTCCCCCCCATCTTTCAGCCTTGTGGGTGGAATGGAATTAAAAAATTAGTTTGAAAGTGAAGTTGTTGTACAAAATGTACAGTTTATCAAGAAGGTACGTTTGTAATCCAGTGAAGCGCATTTTAAAAATATGTGAGCCAGATGTACTTTACACCTTTGCACCCAATTTTCCCAACTCGATGGGAATTCTTAATTAACTTTTAACTTTTTTAGAATGAAGTTCTTTGATTATAAATGCAATTATATTAAATTTGATTTGAGAAAGTGATCTTTTCGAGAACTGATCAAATTGTGAGTTGTTGTTTTAAATATATAAATGTTAGAAGTCGTTAATATGTAGACTTATATACTGAAGTCCATATTTAGATGTTATCGTTAGCTAATCCTCATGTTAAAAGTTGTTGGGGCACATATCAAGCTGGTAAATATTTGCTGTCTAAGCACAAATTTGCTTTCCTTGAACATATGGACGCTAAATTAGAAATTAGACGCTAATATACAATAATTTTATATACCACACAGCGCATATTAAATATTGCTTTAAATAAAAAGGATGAAGATGCGACAAAACTATTTAAGGCAATTTCGTCATGATTCGAATGATAGAAGCAGAAGATCGTACAGATCGGATCGGATCGGATCACGAAATCATATAGTTATTGTTGGTTGAAGCTTAAGTTCTTGTATGGAATATCCGATTATCTTGATCAAATCCAGGAATCCTCACGTGTCTGCACAACCGTTGAACATATGTTTATAGGGGTAGGGTATTTTGTGTTCGACCCTAAAAGGATCCATATGTAGATTTTCGGATAGAAAACTCTTTGACACAATTCTGAAATAGTTTCGCTAGAGTGAAGTATGGTGTAGGACTTACCAGGCGCAGGCAGCCATGCCAAAATAGTAGCGCAATAGAAAGACGCTGGCACAGGCCGCATTGGAGAGGCCATCGACACTCAGCAGAGATTCGTTGGGCGCCTGGGGATCTGTGCCGCAGGCGGTGCCCGTGCGTCCGACAATGAAACGCACCGTCCAACCGATGGTTACCATGTTGTGGCACCAGAGCAGCGGCGATAATAGACGCGACCATTTGGCGCCGGCATTTCGTCCACGATTATCGCCGCCGAGCAGCACCAGACAGAGAGTGGCCACACAGGCGAGTCCTAGGCCGGCGTACGCCCAGGTGGATACCCAGATCTCGGACAGATGCTTCTCGCTGGGCGTGAAGAGTATGTCTGCTTCGCAGAGTGGCGCACAGCGTCCGGAACGATGCAGTTTCACATACAAATGGGATTTGGCCAGAGTCGAGCAATCCAGCGGCAGTGGTGCGCCCACCTTAAGGCCGGGCAACTGCTGCCCATAAAGCTCATGGTCCTGCATGGCCAGATGCGTTTCGCCCGGCCCCTCCATGCACATGGTCTCGTGATTGTTCTCGCGCGGAAAACGATCGCAGTCAAGCGCCGGCGGCCAGGGAAAGCCGAAACCCTGCAGCACTGGATGGCAGCGTATGCGCACAGATTCGCACAGACTGCGGCAGGGTCCAATCGAATGCACCGGCGCCTTGGGCGTGCACATGGGGACATATGCGGCGCAAAGGAAAAGCTTCAGCTGAGAGCTGCAATCGTATTCGATGAGCGGCGCAAACGTTTGCAGCGTGTACTCCACATCCGTTTGCAGCTCATGACCGACCAGATTGGGCATGGAGGTCTCATTGTAGCCAATGCCGCGGCACATCTCGATGCGTATCGGTTCGCATTGACGGAAGATGATTTCGGGCGGGGCGTGGCTGCTGCTGCTGATGATGCCGCTGCCAGTGCTGCTGCTGGCACCGCTTGCAGCAGGCGCAAGCAGCAGCAATGTTGCCAGCATCCATTTTGCGTTCATCCTGATTCCAAGTTATTGCTGCTGTTTTTGTGCTTGTTGTTCAGTTGCTTTGCATAGTGCCCCCCTACCCGACCCTGTTCGAAGAGAACTGGTTCCACGCGCTCGCACTCGCACTCGCACTCGCACTCGTTGTTAATTACAGCTATCTCTTTTGCGCAGCTCATGCGTCGCAGCCGCTGCCACCGCCCGCCCGCCTATCTGGCCCCTGGACTCCCCTTGTCAACTCGTTAACTACCTTGGCGTCGTTCTTGTTATCGTGCCGTCGCTGTCGCCGTCGACGTCGCTGCTGCAAACTAGTTTGGTGTTCTTGTTCTTTCACAATTGGTATGCAGATTATCTTTTGCCCAATTACAATTTTACACTTTTTTCCTGTTGCCTTTTGCCTGTTGCCTCTTGCTGCTGCACAGTTTTGCACTTGTTTATGATTTTCCCGTCAATTTGGGGCTTGTTTGTTTACTTAAGGCACAGCACTAGTTAAAAATATCTATATTTATTTATGTTTGCAGTTCGTCACATCGTTTGTGTTTGGCCAAGTTGATTTTCAGCATTCAAATTGCCAGCAGAAATAAAATCTCGAGCTCACTAGTTGAATGTTTACTACTATAGCTTCTTTCGAACCAAGAAATTGAGACTTGTAAATATTGCGTTGAATCGTTTAGTAGAACATCTAGATGTTCTTATCGATAGCAGACGGCTTATGAGCTGTGGCGGCACGACGATAACTATGCTGCTATTGAGTATGTTAACAGTGTTGGTTAGCAGCCAACAGCCGATAACATTCACAATAGGCCAACAACCAAGATGCCGCAATTATGCAAAGAGCGGGTAAACGAGAACCGTTTGTTTTGTGTTTTTATTGAATTTAATAGAATTATTAACTGGTATATATGTAGATAGCAACAAGTAACAGAAATTGCACTTTCATTTTATCAACGCTATACCAAAAACAATTTTTTTCTAACGATTCACAACAATATACGTTCAAAATTTTTTACAATTTTTCTATAACAATACTGTTATTCTGTACACACCACTACAAGAGCGCAATGCATATGTATTGAAGTTCAACACACAAGCACGCATACTAATTCTCTCTCTCTCTCTCTCTCTCTCTTGTGATTTTGTATTTGTCTAACTCTTCAAGACATATGCTCTCTTGCTTGCTTTATGATTGGCCTGATTGCAGTTATGTCTCCAATTATTTGTTTTTGTCCGATATAGGGCTATATAATGCTCGCCATTGTGTCATGTTGTATTGGGAAGCATTTATCCAGCCACATATCGATTATGTGCAGACTTTGTTAACCGCTTTATGTATATTTATAATATATGTATATATGTATATAATTGTATAGGTAGTTATAGATAATTGTTTGTTTTCTTGTTTGTTTTTTTAAGATATTACAAATACTTTACATTATTTAATTAGTGCGAGTAACAATTACAATAAAATCGAGAAAACAAGCACAATCTGCTCAAAATATGAAATAGTTTAGGTATTTTGCGTATGTTCGTATATATAAATATATGTATATAAGTCAGCATATGTATGTATATGAATATGTTTGTAAGTATGCCATGAGGATTGACAACGATTTAACAAAAAGAATATCAGCGATAACAAGGAAAATCTTCGGCCAACCGAAGCATTACGCTGCCCGCATAACTCTCAACAAATTGTGGCACATAAAATGTTTATACTATGTTATATAGGTATGTAAGTAGTATGTATATATATTGACTATTGTTTGTTCTTTGGTTGGTGAGCCTGAATGAGGGTGTGCAGCAGTGTTGCCAACTGCCGTTCAAAAAACTAGCTGAATCCAATGTTAAAAAAAAAAAAAAAACAAAGCTGAAACTAGCTGATTTAGCTTTCAGAGCAAAAATTGACAATTAACCGGATTGGCTAAAACTTGTCATTGAGAAGTCACAATAAAAGCTAAATCAATCAACATTTTCAATTGCTTACGAGACCTCTGAATATAGTCGAATTTCGCTAGAAAATAGCTGAATTGGCAACACTGATGGATAGGGCTTTCATATTACGTTTACTCATCGTAGTCGGTAATCATGAGGCCCCGTTTGGTGAAGTTTATCGATGAGACCGTTGAGAGATTTGGTGCCGCATCGATGCCATCGAAGAGGTCACTAGTAGCTGAGCTGTTCAGGGAATTAAGCGTTACATTGAATGAGCCGCCAGCGGTATTGAAACGCTCCTGCAGCTCCTGTTGCTGCTTTAGGTTCTCCAATTCATCGCGCAGCGCCTGATTGGTCAGACGCAGACTCTCCGCCTCCTGCAGGCAGTCGCGCAAGCTAAATAATATTAATATGGATATTAACATATATATGTTTTTTTTTAAATATGGCTTTAATTTTTGAAATAAATCTGGGAGCGCTTATAGCCCCGCCCTATCCTATACTTACTGATCAATCTCGTTCTGCATGCTCTTGATGTAGTCGCAGGCCTTGATTAGTATTTGCGATTTGGAGTCGTTGGGTGGTGTGCGTCCATTATTTTGGCTACTTCTAATGGTCGCCTTGCTGTCCAACGTGTCAGCATGGCCAATGGCATTGGTCGTGGTCGGTTTATAGCGATTACCTTCCGTGGGCAACATCTCTTTCAGCTTAAAGATCCAGCAATTGATTTTATCGCGACGTCGACGCTCCACTTCGTTGTGTGTGGCGCGTCGCTTATCATCACGTTTTTTATACGCATCCAATTTGACATTGTAGCCAGCACAGAGTGGAGGAGCTGCAGCAGTAGCTGTTGCGTTTGGGGCCAAATGGTTGGCAACTGATGCTGCGTTTAGAGAGGAACTGCTGCTGCTGCTGGGTGAATCCTTGCTGGCAGCAACAACAATATTGTGTGTGCTCGTTGAGCCGCCACCACTAACGAATAGCACGTTTGTGGACGGCGTGGAAATGGAGTCCGGCTCCAGTTTGATGGAAGCCATTGGTTGCTGTGCATGCTTTAACAGCATTTGATCGTTCGTTTTCGGACCGACACTGGTGGCAATTGTGTGCGTTGTGTCCTTAACTAAATAGATTTCACAACCAGTTGGCAGCTGCAGATTTGTGGGCAACAAGGCATGCAGTGCATCCAGATCTGGCTCCTGCTTAATGCTCTCAATGGCATAAAACTCTTGAGATTCATTTGAGTTGTCATCATCGCCGCATATGGTTAAATAGATTTGAGCACCATTATTCATGTCAACGCCGCCCACCGCAACACTACCACTGGTTAGAAACAGCCCGTTCGCCGTGGATGTGCCACAAATACTCCCATTCCCGTTTACATTTCCGTTTCCGTTGCCATATGCGCTGCTCAGCAGCGCGACGTCTGTTGCTGTTGCAGCTGCGGCTGCGGCTGCTGTTGCTGTTGCAGCTGTGGCTAGCTCCAGACGTGGCCGTTTCTTCACATTCATTGCAGCTGTTTGTTGTTGTGCTTCTTGCCGTTTGTTGCATTAACATAAGATGTCATCTCACTTTGTGTTATGTTTATCTCGTTATAAGGCTGGCACAATGGGTGTCTCCTTTTCTTTTCTTTTCTTTTTTTTTTTTTTTGTTGTTGTTCACGTAACTTTTTGTAATTTGAGAGGCGTAGCTGGCACTGCTGCTGCTGCTGCTGCTACTACTACTACTAACTACCGTTATGGCGGACTGTTTCAAAACAACTCGTTGGCAATATGTATTGCATTCGTTTGGCCATTTAGTAAGCAGCAAGAATACAAACACACATTTGTTGTTAAACAACCAGAATAATTGTCATTGCAACGATATGTGGCTGTTCTTTTTTGCGTCTGGCATCCTTATCTGCAGACTTCAGCTGGCAACCCCACCCGCAACAAAGTGAGTCAAGAATTATCGCATATTAAGATAACGCCACGAAAGTATATACAATGCAATTGGTACAAGACTTTTGTTCTGCGCATCTACGTCATGTGTCAATGAGAGGGCTAACTGGATTCGATAACAATATTAATATAAGAAAACTAGCTTATATCGTTAGTCATTCATTTTATTGGAGTATGGTCTTAAGCCCATAACGTGCAAATTCTAATTTTAGTTTGGATATCTATTAAATTTTCAGCCTTGACGTCATGCAGCTCTCTTGTAATTGTGTTGACTTATCGAAAGCTGCGCATGGCGAACCTTCTAAAATCGACCATGCCCAAACAACAATCTGCTTCGATAAAACGATAGGCAATGTTATTTTTTTTTTTTTGCAATATAACAGTGAAATATCATAGAAAATCATTAATTGAAATTGCGTGTTAATATTATAATATTATCAATGGCTATCCCATCAGCACGTGAATCACTTACACTTGCAGTAAATAATCGTTTTCTTCCAAATCTCGAGTACTTGCTTCAAGGCTCGATTTTAGACACAGCGGTCGAGCATTTAATGCACAGGTTCGTATTGAAGACCGGCGAAGAAAGATATGTACATAGATTAGATCAATGTCCTTGACAGATTGAAAGGCCTATGCGATAATGTGGACACCTCACCGGAGACGTTTCATGACCTAGAGGTGTGTATGAGCCTGCGGCAACCAAATTCACCACAGCCGCTGCTGCTGCGGGTGCGACGCGCCCTTGGACGGGATGCGCCGTTCCAGATGCGTTATTTGGGACAGCCCGAGGTGGATATGCGCCGACCCACGCTGGTGCGCAGCTGCATGGATTGTGCCTGTACCAATGGCATTCTTGACTTCCTCTCCGAAATGGGATTTCGCCTGGAATTCGAGTATATAGCAAAAGGTAAGGTAGCCTGCCTGCATAACCCGAACTCTTGTTCATCAGCTCTTCTCTTTTTAGGCTACATGTTTCGCAAGGGTCGCATGAAGATAACCGTCTCGAAGTTAATCAAAATTGTACCCGGAAAACAGCAAGACATGGCAAATGAGCCCATCTCGCAGAGCTACATTGTTGAATTATCGGTTGTTGCGCCCACTGGTCAGGAGAATGTTGGCGAGGAGATGCGTCTGTTTGCGGAACAACTTAAACCTCTGGTACAGCTGGAAAAGATAGATTACAAACGTCTAGGCAATCTGCCATAAATCTATTCAAATGAATCCTCTAGCAACAAAACATAGAATATTTTATTAGATATAATAAGCACGATTATGTATAATGAATATATATATATATGTTAGATAAACTTTTAATACCATAAATATGATTGATATAACTTTGGGGTAATGCCACAAAAACTTTCTCGTTAATTGCGGCAATCCGAGATTAAATTGAATCTAGAAGCATCTAGTTGGCCTTGGTAATAGCTTTAAAATGTGATTATTTGATCAAAAATCAACAAAAAAATTTAATTTCAGTTTCTAAAAGCTTACACATAGAAAAATACATACAATACAATCATTTAACAATCGTATGGAAAACCTGACATATTGACGGGAATGCAAACGAAAAATAGGAAATATTTACATAGAGCTAAACCCAAACCCTGCTACCAACTGCATTACGGCGACAGTTGCTAATCCTTAAAGGCCTCGTTGAGTGCGGCCAAGTTGCGATCGCTGATGTAACCCTGCAACTCGCTGCGACCCATCAATGAAATGACCATTTTTAGCGTACTCCAGATGGACTCGGACATCTGATTTTGTCCAAAGGCCTGGGCATTGGGCAGCTCTCTTGCGGCATTCGTGTGTGCCTGCATAGTAAGGGCCGTAATCAGA